GTTATGTTATGTTATGTTATGTTATGTTACCCCATGTCTGTGGATGATGTCACTAAGTGGGAGCATGTAGAGGGTGAAGAGGAGGGGACCGAGCACAGAGCCCTGAGGGACACCGCACGAGACAACAACAAGAAGAAGATTTCATTTATAGAGTGCCTTTCACGTCGGGAGGACGTTCCAAGGCGCTGGACAGTTGGATCGGGACCCGATCAGGGGGAAAATGGTCAGGGTGAGGGGAAGGAAGGGAGGGAGCAAGGAGAGGGTAGAGTCGAGAGGGGAGCTGAAGACACGGTCAAAGAGAAAGGTCTTGAGACCGGCCTTGAAGGAGGAAAGGGAGGAGGCGGCGAAGGCACTGGGGAATGGAGTTACAGAGCCTCGGGGCTGAGAGGCTGAAGGCCCGGCCACCGATGGTAGGGTGGTTGGGGCGGGGGATGTGGAGCAGACTGGAGCCAGAGGAATGGGGGGTACGGGCAGATAAGTAGGGGGATAGTAGGTCGGAGAGGTAGGAGGGAGCAAGGCTGTGAATGGTCTTGTAGGTGAGGATGAGCATCTTGAATTCGATCCTCTGGTGGATGGGGGCGAGTGGAGGTGAGCGAGGGTGGGAGTGATGTGGTCCCGAAGCCTGGTGCGGGACAGTACATGAGCTGCAGAATTCTGAATGACCTGCAGCTTGTGGAGGGAGGTGCCGGGAATGCCAGCGAGGAGAGAGTTCCCATAGTCCAGCCTTGAGGTGATAATGGCGTGGACCAGAGTTTCAGCAGCGTGAGGGGTGAGGTAGTGCCATAGTCTGGCAATATTCCGGAGGTGATGGGAGGCGGTGCCAGTTGTGGCGCGGATATGAGGAAGAAAGGAAACGGTGCAGGGTCTGGAGAAGCTGTTTGCTGCGATGAAGCGTAGGTGGTGTGGACCAGTCAAGGACAGAACCTTGAAGGTTGAGGTGGGAGGAGAGGTGGTGGAGGAGGATTAAATGGTCCATGGTGTCAAAGGCAGTGGAGAGGTTGAGGAGGACTAGGAGGCAGAGGGAGCCCTGGTCACACATGATCAGGATGTCGTTTGTGACCTTGACCAGCGCAGTCAGATGACAGGAAGAGGTTAATGATGTCGGCAAGTAGTGGAGCAAGAAGGTGGAGTTGGGATTTAAGGAGAGGGGTGGGGATGGGGTCCAGGGAGCAGGTGGTGGGCTTCATGGAGGATATGGTGGTGAAGACAGAGGATGGGGTGACAGGTTCAAAAGTATGGATGGAGGGATGGGTAGTTGTCGGAGTGTGGGCGGGGGGTAGGGAAGGGGTGGAAGTTGGGAGGGCAGTGGCAGCTGAGTGGATTCCCTCGATTTTGGACTCGAGGAAGTTCAGCATTTTCTCGCAGTGGGAGTCAGTGGAAAGAATCTGCGAGGCTTGGCGGGCGGAGGAGCGAGTTGGCAGTGGAGAACAGGAGCCTGGGGTTGCACTTCGCCTCCAGGATTAACCTGGAATAGAGGGACGATTTGGCCGAGGCAAGAGCGGAGAGGTAGGTTTTGATGAGGTCCAGCCAGATGTGCCGGTGGACCATTAGGCCGGATTTGAGCAGGTGTGTTTGGCAGCCCACACCTGGCCCTTAAGCGAGGGGAGGTGACTGGTGAACCAGGGTGTGGATTGGGAATAGGAGGCAGTTTGGGAGGTGAGGGGGGCAAAGGCGTCGAATGTGGTGGAGATGGTGCTGTGGAGAAGAGTAAGCGCAGCGAGTGGGTTGGTGCAAGAAGTGGGCCAGAGGGGGAGGAGTTCAGAGGACTCCACGGCAGCGGAGAGGGACTGCGGTGAGATCTTCTTCCACAGGCAGTAGAAGATGATGGTAGGTTTGAAAGCAGTGAGGAGAGGGATATGAGAGTTCAGGGAGGTGAAATGGTGGTCAGAGATGAACTTGTCAGTGATGATGACATCCAAAATGCTGAGGCCCCGGGTGATCACCAGGTCGAGCGGGTGACCGTGGGTGTGGGTAGCAGAGTGGATGTGGAGGGAGGAGAGAAGAGAAGTCTGAGGAGGTGGAGCAGGAGAGGGTGAAGTGGAGGTTGAAGTCGCCTAGGATGATGAGGCGGTCGGAGCAGAGGCAGATGAGATGAAGGTGGAGGAGGATTTTGGGGGGCCGGTTAACTAGGAGAATTTTTAGAGAGAGGGGGGAGGGATGTCAGAGGGTTAGGTGTTTGAAAGAGGGGAATGAGCCAGTGGAGTAGGAGGATAGGGCAAGTAATGCCCTGGATATGAGGGACACCCCACCACCACGGTGGTTGGGGCATGGGACATGGTGGTAGGTGTAGCCGGGTGGTGTGGCCTCAGTGAGGGGGAAGATGTCACCTGGGGTGATCCAGGTTTCAGTGAGGGCCATAATGTCAATGTTCTCATCGAGGATGAGATCATTGATGGCCAGGGTCTTGTTGCAGATGGAGTGGATGTTTTGAAGACCAATGTGGAGTGGACATTTGGCAGGGGAATATGTGGGATGGGAGGGGTGTGGTGGATTGGTTGGCAGGGAGGGTGGGGATGCCGTTGAGGGAGGAGAGATTAGCCCCCGGGGTCTGGGTCCGGGGTGGCTTGTAGCAGTGGTGGGAAATGTGGCTGTTGATGGACAGCCAACACTGAGTGCCGTGAAGTGCTCCCAGGCTGGAGCAGAGGGAGGCAGTGGGGGGTGTCGAGCAGAGATAGGAGGCAGGGAGGGTGAAGAGAAAGCAGGACAAAGCGGGAAACTTGCAGGGAGAGGGGCATTTTAAGGGAGGGCCAGCTCGAGTCAGGGGCGGCAGCCAAGATGCGCTTGCTGAAACGGGAAGTGGCAGGTTAATGGGACATTGTCAGCCTGCAGGAAGCTGTGGGGGCTAGGGATGCCACAGAGGGGGAGGGCGGTCATTGTAATTCATTTTTGGTCTTTTGGGTTTGACATTGCGATGGTGTCACTAATGATTTTTCTACAAATGCCCCAGCGGAGGATGGCTTACCTCGGTCAGGCTTTACACACTCATTACATTATATTATGAAAGTGGTGTACTGACACCTACTGACTATTTATGCCATCATAAAGTAACACCATGCTAGGCTTAAAATATTGCAAATGTTATCCCTCAAGGTGTAATTAGTAATATTTAATTACTAATTAATAATTAGTAATATTTCTTAACAGGCATAAATAAGGAACAATATATTGCCGAAACATCGCCAGACTACGGCACTACCTCACTCCTCACGCTGCTGAAACCCTGGTTCACGCCTTTATCATCTCAAGGCTGGACTATGGGAACTCTCTCCTCGCCGGCCTTCCCGGCACCTCCCTCCACACTGCAGGTCATTCAGAGCTCTGCAGCTCATGTACTGTCCCGCACCAGGCTTCGGGACCACATCACTCCCACCCTCGCTCGCCTCCACTGGCTCCCCATCCCCAGAGGATCGAATTCCAGATCCTCATCCTCACCTACAGGGCCATTCACGGTCTCACTCCCTCCTACCGCGCTGACCTACTATCCCCCTAATTACATGCCCGTACCCTCCGTTCCTCTGGCTCCGGTCTGCTCTACATCCCCCGCCCCAACCGCCCTACCATCGGTGACTGGGCCTTCAGCCTCTCAGCCCCTCGGCTCTGGAACTCCATCCCCCAGTGCCTTCGCCGCCTCCTCCCTTTCCTCCTTCAAGCCCGGTCTCAAGACCTTTCTCTTTGACAGTGCCTTCAGCTCCCCTCTCGATCTCTACCCCCTCCTCGCCCCCTCCCTTCCCTCCCCTCACCCTGACCATTTCCCCCCTGCTCGGGTTCTGACCCAACTGTACAGCGCCTTGGGACGTCCTCCCGACGTGAAAGGCGCTCTATAAATGGAATCTTGTTGCTGTTGTATATTAATTGTTATTACAAAATAGTGTCTTCGAAATCAGTCCTTAACTTTGGAAGAATACCGTATCTGTCAATAAACAGTTTTGACATTAAAAAAAACAGACTTAGCCCCAAAATGTTTATTCTCAGCCACTAGAATAGTTTTTTTTAACTTTGAGCTTTTATTTTTAGAATGATAAGATAGCATCTGGCAAAAAAAGTGTAAATTTTTTGCTCTGTGAGCCAGATTAAAGACTTTCTGGATTATTATGTGTTTAGCAAGACAACTTTTGAGAACAAGTTTATAATTAGAATCCTGTAGCTAAGTGGTTAGAGCACTCGCCTCGCAAGCAACAGTCCTGGGTTTGATTCCCGGGGAGGGCGAAATGTTGGGCAAGTTTCCTTACTCCACACGACTCTGTTTACCTAGCAGTAAGTAGGAACCCAGTTGTTAGTTGATTGGTGCATCACTTTCCCGGGGGTGATAATCCCTTCAAAAAGATTAATAAGAATAATAAATTGGTCACTTCAATCCATGCTGTTTGTGGGACACCGCTGTCCGCAATTGCCCTCCGAGTTTCGCCCACAAAATATAGTCAATTCACTTTACAGTATCAAAGCACTTTGATACGTCTTGAAGATGTGATAAGGCAATATATCAAATGCAAGGATTATTATTACTATTATTATAATTGTTATATTAGAAATAGCATCTTTCATGTTGGTGCACTTTTTTTTCTGGTGGACATCTCAAAGTGCTTCACAGGGTATACTGCAAAGTCTAGGCAAATATGTTGTAGTGTAGACTGTATGTTTTGTAGGCAAATACAGTAGCCAATTTCTGCGTAGCTGTATCCCACAAACTGCCGTGAAATGAATGACCAGTTTTGTTGGTACGGAAGGATTACTAATTACTTCAGAGGATGTTTGGCTATGACCCAGCGAGAAACTCGCACTTCTTTTTGAATGGTATGATGGGATCTGAACACCAGTTAGATTTGACCTTGGTTCTTTTCATTTGAAAGTTGAGATGAGGTCATGTCCCAACCTGGGGCTTGAACCCTCAACTAGAGTTCGATGAAGAAGATAGTTTACCCTGATATCAGACATCACAAATTTAGTATTCTGTAATAGGTGCCACTCAATGATCTTCTTTCCTGTGATTTTTTTATTCTTAGGCCTGTAGTAAAGCCTTTTCAGAATATTTTTATTCATGTTCACAAAAATATGAAGAAATATGCAAGAAGGATATTTGTAGAAAGGACATCAGCTGTACCACTTTTGAAGAAATTGAATACCGATGTACTGAGGATATCGAGTCCGGATGGAGGAAAGATTTAGATTGCGGTATGTTTTATGTTTTCACTCCAATTTAGAAATAAAATGTAAGTCAGAAAGTCTTCTAAAACATTACATTTTTACTCCAAACATAAAACAAGAAAGAAGACAATTCTACCCCCTGTTTTAACATGGCATCCTCTGCTGTGCCCAACATGTTATGTTCCACTGGTTCTGTTTCAGCAGCTGTGCAAGTGTATGTTCCATTCTTTGCAAGTTTGACCACAAAAGGTCCCATTCTCTCAACTTCCCCATGTTTGCCAACCTTCACTGGTTCTCTGTCTGCAACAGATTGATTCATTTGGAGTTCTCACTTCCATTTTCGAGTACGTAATGTTCTTCGGCTCTAAATCCCAGTCCAAAATTCTACTCTTCTTTGCTTTTAGTTTTCTACTCAACCACTGCTCATTTTACACCACTATACGAGGCCACATCTTTAGTCATCACAACTTGGTCCTCTGAAACTCTTTCAAACTGATTTTGCCACAGCTTCTTTCAAAAAAAACTTTTCCTTTTGACAGTTTCTTTGTTTTTAATTTACTTTTCAATTTCTCTCAAATCTTGCTTGGTGATCACCATTCTCTTTCTTTTATGTGAACAGAGACATATTATCGCAAGTTATTGTTTAGTTCAGGGATGTTATCAGACCTCAAGATGTGAAATAAATAACTTTTATATTTCAGCCGAATATATTTGTCCTGGAAATCAAATCTACAACAAAGCAGGTTCTTCTTGTGTTCAAACCTGTACTGATCCGAATCCTCTACTACATTGTGATAACGGTGTAATTACCTGTGATTGTCCAAAAGGTAATTATGCTTTCTTGACAAAAACATGATGGATTTGTACTTGATAACTATAAGCTTGATATCAATAATTGGAAAAATAAAGGAATCAATCAAAGCAGAAGAATCATAGAATGCATGAAATTATAATCTAGGAGGAATCCATTGAGGCTAGTAATGATCACATGAGATTAGAAAATAAGTTTACTTAGTGTTCGAAAATATGGAATGCATTGCACCAGACAGTTGATTGATTGAATCATTCGTTAATTGATGGGGATCTCTTGTGCTGTATTCATCATCTTGAGAGACATTCGTAGGGGGGGGGTGGTGGGTCTGACACTAACGTTTGCTTGGACATTGTCCTTTGGGACCATCTTGAGCAAAGGACACTGGTCATTCTTGTCCCTCTTCAATGGCAGCATGACCTCAATGCAAGTTATGTAAGTGGAATATAAGATGTATGTCCAAACAGTTCTCTTTCATGGTTTTGAGCACCTGTCTATGCAATGGAAGGGTTTCCTTTTAATCCTTGCATTTGATATAGCGCTTTTGGTTATTTGTGACGTCAAGGACCCATTAGTAAGACTCCTGGATTTGGGGAGGGAGGGCTCCAGCCCACACTCATCTTTTGTTGAGAAACCTAGAAGTGCAGTCAGCTTCACAACAGCCAATGCAGTTCACGACAGTCACATAAGCAGTTGGTTGGTAAGCCTGGCACATGGCATTGATCTTGGACCTCTAGAATAACAAGGTGACTGGCACATCACAAGCGGTCCTGTAAAGATTGTCCCTCAACACTGAAAGCTGATGTCCATCGAATAGCTACAGAGGAAACTCTGAGGCTTGGGATGATAACTGCTGAAAGGTGTGACTGGAATCCAGGTTTGTGAACACATATATCCAGACCATAGTATCCACCTTCATAGATGTACAAGGAAATAAGCAGCAACTGCTCAATGTCAACCCCTCCAAGTTGTGGAACTATTAATCAAAAAGTAGGGATATGTATCGGAGCTATGGGTAGGAGGATGCTCTAAAGCTGGCAATGCTCTCAAGTATTTCATGGTGAGTTGTGCTGCTCACCAGAAAACTCATAAGGAATTCACGATTCCTGCTATCCATAGAGTGGTGCCTCAAACTTGCAAATATAGGATGTCAAATGACCAACTAGTAAGTCAGACAGTCGCGGACACCATGCTTAAGAGTATTCAAACCAGACTGAGAGTTACGTATATTCTTGCCGCCACCACCACATGGAAATACGTATGAAACCCAAATATTGGAATGGGGTGTACCGGTTGGCGAGAGCCAAGGTTTGGGGACTTCAGTTTATGTATTGGGGTACTTCTGGAATTTAATTAACTAAAATCTCAAATCTTCCCTCTGTTTGTCAGTGAGGACCATTAGGTCTTTTGCTTGCAGGATTAATGGGAGCTTAGTGGAAAAAATCCTTGCCCCCAGTGACTGATTTGCCATCCCATGTCCTGCTGATAAGCTAGGCTAACTAGCAAGAAAATACTAGTTCTGGATTGAAACAGTAAATCTCCAATTTCAAAATGTTGTTGAAGCAATATCCAATCCTAAATGTCAAAGTTAGTTCTGGATTTTCAAATAAAAGTCATGCAATTTTTTCATTGTGAATAGACATACTTAGATGTTTTCTTTGATGTACTTCAGGCACTGTTCTTAATAACATAAAAAACAACAACCAATGCATTGACATAGAACAATGTCCTTGTGTATTTGGTGGAGTGATTTTTGAACCTGGGGAAACGAGGAATACTTCCTGTCAATCATGGTAATGACATAAATTTAAATCAAATTTAGATATTTTATCAAATGTCTTGAAAAATTTCACAAAAATATTGACTCGCTTTTTTTCCTTTTTAGCACTTGCAAAAGTGGAAATTGGAACTGCTTTGCTTTCAATTGCCCTGGAAGGTGCAAATTTGAAGAAGGAACATACATTACAACATTTGATCAGAAATGTTACAACTTGAGAGGAGATTGTTCGTATATTGCTGCATCTGTATGTGAGATTTCATTACATTTTTTGTAGATAGTATCTAAGGAGAACCAAAGCTAGTTGCTAGATTTTTGTTTAAATTTTCAAAACCTTATTTTTCTTCAGGCAAATGACTGGAGAGTAATCATCAAGATGCAGTTGTGTGAAAATGCAATGCAAGAGACATGTTTGGATACTGTTGAATTTATTAAAAATAAGGTAAAACATGTAAGATTATTCATTTCTACAATTCCAGTGCACTATATTTTACTTTTCTAAAAAAAANTGTTTTTTTTTACAGACCAGATATGAATTTACCAATGCCGGTTCAGTTTTATCTGGGAACAGCCTAGTGAGCCTCCCTCTGAAGCAGGGTAAAGCTAAATAACAAACAGACTATAAAATAATACATCAATATAATTCTTACACATTATATTAAACTAGAATTTATTTTTTACAGGTGAAATAATAATATTTCAACAGTGCTCAATGTTCATTCAGTTTGCCACAACATTTGGTTTGAAAATGCAAGTACAGATATCTCCAATCATGCAGCTCTATATATCACTACCTACAGATGCACAAGGAACGACAACAGGTTTGGCTAAATAATTAATAATAATAATATTTCTTGCCTCTGACATAGTACCTTATCATATCAATGAAACATCTCAAATCGCTTTACAGGAAAATAATATAATAATCCTTGCCACAGAGGGCTGGCTCGATTCTGACATTCCATTGCCAAGCATGTCATCTTGGAGCCAATCTTTGCATTTGATGCCTTTCATGCGCAATCTAGATGTCTGGTTCAATCCTCAGCTGTCCTTCCTCCACATCCGGTCTCTGACCAGGACCGCCTTCTTCCACCTCTGCCAGATTGCTCACCTCTGACTGTACCTTACCCCAAATGCAACTGAAGCCCTCGTGCATGCGTTTGTCACCTCCCTCTTGGATTACTCAAACGCACTCCTTGGCAAACTCCCCAGCTACACCATGGCACTGGCCTCCTGCTCGTCCCTCGTCCCTGAAAACCTTCCTTCTCAACCGTGTTTATGGTCACCTCCCCCACCTCCACTCACTTGGAGTCAGGCTCAGCCACTGTTAAGAGCTCTGAGACCCCACCCTGCGTGGAGGGCACTATATAAGTACAAGTTGTTGTTGTTGTAGGCTGCTGTGGATTTATGCTTTGCAACCATGGCATTTTAAACGTATTGGAAGTGAACAGAATAGAGTTTATTACCTACTCATATCATATGATCCTGTAGCATATTGATTAGAGCATTCATCTCGCAAGAGAGAGGACCTGGGTTCGATTCCTGGATTTAGTGAAACCTTAGCCAAGTTTCCTTACTCCACACACCTGTTTATCGAGCAGTAAGTAGGACCCCACTTGTTAGTTGATTGGCTGATTGCTTTCTAGGGTAATAATCCCTTCAAAAAAATAATAATAATAATAACTTGGTCACTCAATCCACATCTGTTTGTGGGACACTGCTGTGAGCAATTCGCTGCCTCGTTTTGCCAAGAAAATATACAGTCAATTCTCTACAATATATTCTGTGAAGCGCTTTGAGACGCAATGACATGATAAGACTCTATATCAAATGCAAGGATTATTATATTATTATGTATTATATACAGGGTTGTTGAAACTTTGGGAGTTCCATACATTTGGATGGTCCACACATTTAGCATACTGCATCATGTTTAATTTGTATCTAGTAATGTAATTTTACACCAAACACAGTAAATTGCCACAATAATTAACACCAATGTTAAATTGGTAAAATGCTATAAATTTAAACTGATTTATTGAATATCAATATCATTATTGTTGTCAAATTTAACAAGACTACTATTACTGCAGATCTAGCAATAAATTACTTTTAAGGTACAAACTTCATTAATCTCTTGAAAGAAAGTCAACTATAAAATGATTGTGTTGTCAAATCTGTATAGTGTCAGAATCTAATTAGAACTCTACTTTTTTAATTTGGGTGTTGGAAATGCAAGATTTTTTTTTCTGTTTCCAGGGTTATGTGGGAACTTTAACGGCAATGCAGATGATGATTTCACCTCTTCACAACAGATAATAGAACCAACAAGTGTTGCTTTTGCTCAATCTTGGGAGATTGGTGATTGCACTAAAGAAAGGGATCCTCCCTCTTGTATTAGTTCAGAAAATGGTAATGTTCCAATTAAATACTGTCTTTTGCTCCAATACAGAAATGTTTGTTTTATTCTATCCATTTAAGATAAGCGTTCTGTGTTCTTAAAAACTCGTCCTCCCGACGTGAAAAGCGCTATATCAAATGCAAGGATTATTATTATTATTATTATTATTATTGAACAGGGCAATGGCTTGCTCTTCAGGCCTTAAATATTGGTAAGTATTTTTGCGTGATGACAACAAAAGTCGAGATAATTTGTAATCTGGTTGATTGAAATTGGATCACCAGAGCTGTGCCGATACTGTTCATATGCAGTGAATGCAGAAGTGCTGACCAACTGACCCTGTTATAAGACAAGTTGGGATTTTATGGACTCCACCAGTGTGTTATAACAGGGCCTTACCTCAACTTGTTTATGAATGAGTGTATGTCATTTGTTAGTATCTCTGTATGAATTTTTGTCTTACTCTCCCTCACTTCCTGCCTCTGTCCTCCTCTATTTCCATATTCTCTATCCGTGTGTGTCGGTGTTCTCTGTGTCTCTTACTCTGTCTTTATATCCATTCTTCTCTCTCTTGTCAGTCTTCCTCTGTAAATCTATGCCACCTCTACTCTGTTACAAGTGGTCTCACACATGATTGCTCTTTGCCATATCTCTCTTACCAATTTAACATTGAATCAGTCACACTCTAAAAATCTATTTCACTTTTTTGTGTATGACGCACTCTATCTTGTCTTTTAGCATTCTCTAAACTTCCACTATTACACTCATTTCCACCTTCCATTCTTCTATGTCTCTTTAAGTCTTTCGTCCCGCACATTCACTTACACTCACTCTTTCTTATTCCATCTCCTCTTTTCCTTCACCTTCCTCTCCTTCCACCTCCTCTTCTTCCCGTCCGCTCTTCTGCCTTGTTGCCTCATCTCTGCCGTCTCCTTCCTCCATTCCACTCCTTCCCTCATCGCTCCCTCTTCTTAATCCCGCCTTCTTCTTTCCTGCCAGCTTAATCCCTTCTCTGTCTCCACCTGCTCTCCATTCCATTCCTCCCTTTTTTTCGCACTACCCCTCACTCACTTGCACACACTCATGTGCATGCTGGAATTCTATTGCAGAAAAAATCGCCAAAGAGAAATGTGAATCCTTAAGGGCTTTCATGGGTGTTTTCGTTGAGTGTCATTCTACAGTTGATTACACCAAATATTATGAAGTAAGTAACAATACTTTATGACTAATGGAGATGTTTTGTAAGGATAGTGCAATCATGGGTATTGACACAGATCATCCCTAACATTTGTGGAACATTAGTGCATGAATTAAATTAAAATCATAACTAGGTGTAAATTGTGGTATTTAATGTGAAAAGTATCACCTGCCTTTCAATAACTAAAGACTACCTCAGTGAGCATTTTGCTCTCTGCTCCATAACCTTGGCACAATGGTTGTGTTGAAGCTGATGTGCAGCTGCCAATGGAGTTGCTGCCACAGAACACAGTAGTTGGGCTAATTTCTATGAAGGGAATGTTTGTTGAAATGTATTACGTTTTTAAAAGAAATAAAAATATTTGATTTCTAAAAACTCTTGGAAATGGTACTTATTGCTGTTGTTTTGTAAAATGTATTTAGTGTCACTGAACAACTACTAAAATTATTGTTTTACCAACATTTGTTTTTTAGATATGTAAAGAAACTGCATGTGTGTGTCAAAACATTGACGAGTGCATTTGTGCTGCACTGGGGGCATATGCCCATGAATGTGCTGCACATGGTATAATTGTGGCAGACTGGAATGGAGATACTTGCAGTAAGTTATGTCCATGTCAATGTTAAAACATTTACTATTATTTTCACTACAGCACAATTTGAAAACAACACAGTGGAGTAAAAATCAGATAGAATGGGAATTGGAAATGTTGTATTGAACTTGTTGAACCAAATAATAATATTTGGCATTTGATTCTGTTATCAAAATGTTGCACAGAAGTCCACACGATTGTTTCTTTCTTGTATTGTGACTTGGATTTTACAGAAATATGGCAAAAAACTGCAGGAATTTCCAAAAGCAGCAAAGAGATCAGCGATGAAATTTGATAGTCTTTTGGTGAATTTGAATAATAATATTGGCCATATATTGAATCTTTGACAGCAAAATAGAAGTTGTTAGCAGATGGAAATGATTTGGCTCGTCATGATTTATTATTGAATCCACTTTTCAGCTTTTTCCCGATATCCCTTACTGTTTTTACTGCCCAAGTATTTATTGAGTTTGTTTTTGAACAATTATTCTTATCTAGCTTCAATATCCACATGTAGCAATGAGTTCCAAGCCCTAACAATCTCTTATTTAAGAAGTTCCTTCTACGCTTTTCCTCTTACTTTTCTGCTAATAATCCCGATGTTGTGCTCCTCACAAAAAAAAACTGACATGGTGTTATTGTTTTTTGAAGCAAAATGCCCTGAAACTCAGGTTTTTGGATACGACATGAGAGCCTGTAACCGTACCTGCAGATCATTGTCAGACGACGATTATACCTGTGAAGTTGAAGATGTTCCAGTTTATGGCTGTGGCTGCCCTCAAGGAAAGTACATGAATGAAAATCAAAAGTGTGTTGAAAGTAAAGACTGCGCATGCTACAAGAAAGGCATATTCTTTAAACCTGGATACAGCAATAAAAACTGGTAAATATATTACTTGCATTTCACAACAGTTGAATTAAATCATTGAATATAAAATAATAATAATAATCCTTGCATTTGATATAGCGCTTGTCACGTCGGGAGGACGTCCCAAAGCGCTTCACAGAACACACTAAAGTGAATTTATTGTATATTTGTGGGCGAACGCGGCCGCCAATTGCGCACAGCAATGTCCCACAAACAGTCGTAGATTGAAAATGACCAATTTATTATTGTTTTTGGTTTTGGAGGGATTATTATTAGGCTCTGTGTGGAGTAAGGAAACTTGCCCAAGGTTTCGCCCTCTGCGTGGAATTGAACTCAGGTCTCTCACTTACAAAGCGAGTGCTCTAACCACTGAGCTACAGGACTCCACTTGTTTATGAAATACATACAATTTTTTTTTCTCCTCAGCTATTGCGAAGATGGCAAAATGATTTGTGTTGAACCATCCACCACAACCAAAAANCGTAATCAAGTTTTACTCTTTTAGAATCATTTATTCAATGCTTCTTAAATCAGAATATATTTTTGTTATAAATAGTTATTTTGTACATTAATTGTTTAAAATATAAAATATTTTTCCAGCTAGCTGTCCTGGGAAGAGATATATTGACTGCGATTCTTCCTCAAGCAAGAACATTTGTAACAGGAAATGTGGCAAAATACATCTTCCATGTGTAAGTGATGTTGAACAGTACATTCAGTTTTACATTGGTGACGAGCTTCATAGAAAACCAAACTGATCAAAAATATTTGATTAACTTTATCTATAACCCACCTGAGCATTTTTAAAAATAACTATTTCTATGATCCCATTATTCTATAAGTAAGTTGAAGTGTAATATAGAATAGTGTATTTTCTACTATCCTTCTGCTACCTTGTTCTCCTCCCCTCCCGGTCTCTGGCACTTAAGGCATGACCTCCAGCCCCACTCACCCCCCCCCCCACATCCCCTCACCCCACCTGCGCTGTCTCCTGTAGCCTGCAGGCTGATACTGCCCTGCTGATTGCTCGCTCCCGGTCTCTGCGTGCGGCTTTTAGCCGCCCAAGCCGTTCCCCCTGAAAATGTTCCTGCTCCCACCTCCTACGCTCCGCTACTTCCACTCTATCCTTGTCTCACACTGCCCTCCTCACCTTCTCTCTCTCCTGGACCCCACCACTACCCCACTCTGGTCCAGACTGGGCATCCTCTGCCAGGCCCATTGTGGCTCCTGCCGCTGGTTGTCCCAGAGCAGCCACCCCAACTGTTCCATTGCTCACTCTCTCCATAACAACCGCCTCCGAAAGCAAATACCCCTTCCCCCTCCCATCCATACCCTCTCCAACTCTCCCTGCTCCTCAAACTCCATGGTTACTTCTCCTCCAAGACTCCAAATACTCTCTAGACCATCTCCCCATCACCTCCCCCTACCAGCAAACCTATCCGAATTTCTCTCCAAAATGTCCACTCCCTCTACAATAAAGCCCTTACTATCCATGACCTCATCCTGGATTTTGTTGTTGTTGCGCCACCTCCGCGGATATCACTGTCCTCCTCTCCTCCCTAAACCTCACCCTCCACATCAGCTCACCGACCCACAACTATTCGTGGAGTCCTGTAGCTCAGTGGTTAGAGCACTCGCTTTACAAGCGAGAGACCTGAGTTCAATTCCAGGCAGGGCGAAACCTTGGGCAAGTTTCCTTACTCCACATGCCTAATAATAATCATTCCAAAACCCCCCCAAAAAAAAAAAAATTTGTCATTTTCAATCTACGACTGTTTGTGGGACATTGCTGTGCGCAATTGGCTGCCGCGTTCACCCACAAATATACAGTCGATTCACTTTACAGTGTGTTCTGTGAAGCGCTTTGGGACGTCCTCCCGACGTGAAAAGTGCTATATCAAATGGAAGGATTATTATTATTATTATTATTAATATTCTGCACACTCCCTCGACCTCATCATCACATATGACCTTGACATTTCCAACCTGTCTATCACGGACAAGGTTATCTCGGGCAACTTCCTCATCTCCCTCTCCTCCCACGTCTGCCTCCCCTCCACCAAGCCCTCCACCATTTTGTTCCACACCTGGAAAAAGCTTACTCTTGAGTCCCTCACAAATGTCCTCTCTTCCTCGGACCTCCTCTCCCTCTGGTCCTCCACCCGCAGCGATCCTGATGCAGCCATCAAGCTGCTAAAGGACAGTCTCTCCACAACCTTCAATTCCCTGGCTCCCCTGAAATCCAGGGTTGTTTCCAAATCCACCCACTCCCCCGGTACAACAGTTATCGCCCCTCACTCAAAGTACAAACCTGGACGCTCGAGCGCAGATGGCTAGAAGTAGACTTCTTCACCTCAAAAATTGAAAACATCATTCCCCCACCCGCATGTCCCATTCTCCACCCCCACCCTCTCCCCCCCCCCACTTGCCCTCTCCCATGTCCTTTTCCACCCCACCCAGACCATCTACGCTGCCTTCTCCCTCCACCACGACTCCTGCCACTTCCCTGTTCTTACACTCTTTTGCCTTCATTCCTCCCTCTCACAATTACCCGATGAAGTTCGGCCCCCTTCCCATCCAGCTGCTGGTTACTCAATTCCCCCTTCTCCCCACCCCGCTGGCCAACAATGTTAATCAATCTCTCTCCTCAGGCTCTGTTCCTGAAAACCGCTGATATCACACCCCTCCTCAAAAAACCCATCCTCAATCTCTCTAATCTCTCACACTAACATCCCATCTCCAACCTTCCCTTCCTTGCCAAAGTCCTGGAATGCATTGTTGCAGGTCAACTTTGCTCACACCTCTCCCTCCACTCCCTCCTCGAGCCCCTGTAGGCTAGTTTTTGCCCTGCCCACCACACAGAGACAGCACTTGTCAAAGCCACAAAAAAACATCCTCTCTATCTGTGACCAGGGCTCCCTCTGCCTCCTCATCCTCCTGGATCTCTCTTCCGCATTCGACACAGTTGACCATGCCATCCTCCTCCACCACTTGTCTTTCCTCATCTACCTTTGTGGGACAGCACTTGCATGGTTTGAGTCCTACTTAAGCAACTGCCTCCATTTCATCTCAGCAAATGGTTTCTCCTCCTGCCCCTGCCTGGTCACCTGTGAGGTACCCCAGGGCTCCATCCTTGGGCTTCTCCTTTTCCTTATCTATTTGCTCCCTCTGGGTTATGTCATCTGCAGACACGGGGTAAACTTCCACATGTATGCGGGTGACTCACAAATCTAGTTTGCCTTCTCCAGTACCAACTCCAGGTCCACCGATGTTCTGTCAACTTGTCTGGCAGACATCAAGGTCTGTGTGAGGATAAACTTTATGCAGCTGAATATGGACAAGACGGAAGCCATGCTCCTTGGCTCCCATCAACGTCTTCACCCCTGCGGAACTAAACTCCTCAACCTCCCTGGGCTCTCCCTCAAACTCACCAAACCAGTGTGCAACCTAAGTGTCCGGTTTGACCCCCAGCTATCCTTCCTCCCCCACATACATACAGTCCCTGACCAGGACCCCCTTCTTCCACTTCCACTACATTGCCTGCCTCTGACTGTACCTTATCCCAAATGCAGCCGAAACCCTTGTGCATGTGTTTGTCACCTCCCGCTTGGATTACTCCAACGCACTCCTCGCCGGTCTCCCCAGCTCCATCATTCAAATTATCCAGCTCATTCAGAACTCTGCCGCCCACATACTGACCTGGAGCAAACTCCGTACCCACATCTCACCAGTTCTGGCCAGGCTCCACTGGCTCCCCATCACTGAATGGATTGACTTTGAAATCCTCACACTCGTGTTCAAATCCCTCCACTCTCTGGCACCTCCCTACCTCTCTGATCTCCTCGCTCCCCATTCCACCACCCGGCATCTTCACTTGACTGGCACCGGTCTCCTGCTTGTCCCTCGCACTCTGCCCCCCCACCATTGGAGGTCGCATTTTCAGCCACTACGCCCCAAAACGCTGGAACACTCTTCCTTAATCCATCCGCCTTGCACCGTCCCCCCTTTTTCAAGTCCTGCTTGAAAATTTTCACCCCGCCTCGGAGTCAGGCTCCCACATTGTTTAGCACTCTGAGACACTACCCTGCATGGAGAGCGCTATATAAGTGTAAGTTGTTGTTGAAGTCAAATTCCACAAAAAATGTGAGGAGGGAACCTACCCATACACATATAAAAACATACATGCCTACAAATATATAGTATTTTTTAAGTTCTTATCTACTGCGTCCTTACCAATTGCTGATCCTGACACTGCCATGACAGGACTGTTTGACATGGAGGGAGCGGGGGTTCTGAAGTTGGAAATGGTCTCAGGCCGAATGAAATCATCCGCCTAGCTGAGTGATAGATAGAGGGGAAGAGAGTGATTTTGAGAGAGAGCATGATAGAGAGGGGCAGAGAGAGGGAAGGAGAGAGTGAGAGAAAGAAAGAGTGTGTGTCAGAAGGTGGAAATGAGAGAAAGGGAAATAATGTATGTGAGAGAGTAATTGAGAGAGAGAGTGATTGAGCGATAGAGGTGTGGGGAGAGCGAGAGAGAGAACATGAGGGAGAGGGGGAAACAAAGAGTGTGAGGTAGAGCAGAGAGAGGGAGAGGAGGAATAAGGGTAGTGTTTCATTGGTCATTTTCAGAACAGGCAATCAGAGCATTTACTTCATCCTGTCCCCAACCCCCACCCCATCCTACTTCTGCAACCTTCCGACTTTCCTTTGCTTCATGCTCTCCCACCCCATCTGCCCCACTATCGCCATTTTGCCTCCGCTCTCTGGAGCTCCATTCCCGGAATCCTTCTGATTCGCTTTCTCCCCTCTTTCAAGGCAAATCAAGACCTAACTCTTTGGTCATCTTTTCCCCCTTCCCATCCCACCTCCCTCAGCTCCCACCTCCAGATCAGGTGCCCAGGCTGCAGTGTAGAGCTCTTTGAGACGTGCTTCCGATGTGAAAAATGTCTTGTGTAAATGCTGTTACGTTTCTGGAAAAGATACACAAAAGTACTGCTTATGTGGCCCATGAACATTTCTCAAATAGGGCATCCAAGCCTCGGCAGCCAAAAGGTTGGGCCAACCTACTTTAATATATTAAAACTGATTACAAATATATTTCATACTGGCAAAGCTTTGCAATTCTATATATACTCCTATCATTCTACACCAATAATTCACCCAGGATGCTCAATGAACACATACATACATGCACACTGTGTGGGAATGAAATCAACTCTACATTTCAGGGTTGTTACCAATTGTTAATCATTTCTGAGTACAAAAGTATGTTGGTGGTGAATGAGTATAATTATGCGAAGTACAAATCTCTTCATTCATTAAAAATCAGACAATGAAGATAATGCAAAATATGTTTTCTTTCACAAAGCCAAGTAAATGTGTACCTGGCTGTGCCTGTCCTGAAGGTCTTGTGGAAAATGACAAAGGAGAATGCGTTCAACTTAAAACCTGCACTTGTTCTTGGGGGGGGGAAATTTATTCTGCTGGAAGCACAATCAATCAGGACTGCAATAAATGGTGAGTTTAAATAATAATAATGGGATCGAATTTACAGTCATTCTTTCACAGAATTCCTCAATAAAAATACATGCTAGAATTCTAGTCGTCCTATTCATTCTGATTTGAGTCACCAGGAACTCCATTCCAGAAGTAGTTCATATAAGAGTGGGTTTCCATGGGTCCATTTACTGGAAGCAGTTTCCGTTTACACAATTTAAATTCCTTGTTAAGGAATCTTGTTAAGAAATGCTACACGTTAGACTCCGAAGTAATTTTGCTTGCTTGACATTGCAGAACATTGTTAAAAAAGACAACTTACTTTATATTGCAGTACATGTGAGAATGGAGAATGGAAATGCTCTAAGAAGCTGTGTCCGAAGACCTGTGAAGTTTATGGTGAAGGGCATTACAAAACATTTGATGGAAAAAGATATGCATTTGATGGCAACTGTCGATATATTTATGTTGAGGTAAGTTATGATGAAAAACATTTACCTCAAAATTTAATAGATCTGAACATTTAGAATCTCATTGATAGCCACCTTAAAGTGCATATTGTAGATTTCTGGTTAATGTTCTACCTTCTAAATATTCAGTAGGCACTAGTTGGTGTATGCTTTTAAAAAATATCAGTTTCGTTTTGTGGTTTAACCATACAAATTTAATTCCTTAGGACCAGTGCAAAGGAGAACTTGGTTCATTCCAGATAATAACAGAGAGCCTCCCTTGCTGTGAAAAAGGAGTGATTTGTTCACGAAGTGTCAGAATTTTAATCAAGGCATGTACTTTTATTTGCAATTATTAAATATGTGTTTGCTTTTCAATACAATATTTAAAAATTCATATTTAATTTGAACCATGTTTTCATTCATTCTCCACATATACCAGGCTACAAAGTATTTTGCCATGGACAAGATTAAAGTTGATATCCCTTTAAGATCATTTATTTTTAAAACGTTGTGACAATTGACAAATTTCAATAGGATTTTTCCTGTGCATTTTTTCACAGTATCACTCCCTCCCAAGCTATCAGCAGCTCAGGAACCTCGGGGTTCTGTTCGACCCTGAGCTGTCCTTTCTCCCTCATATCCGCACCACAACTGGCACCACCTTCATCACCTCCGGAATGTCGCCAGACTACGGCACTACCTCACCCCTCACGCTGCTGAAACTCTGGTCCACGCCTTTATCACCTCAAGGCTGGACTATGGGAACTCTCTCCTCGCCGGCCTTCCCGGCACCTCCCTCCACAAGCTGCAGGTCATTCAGAACTCTGCAGCCCGTGTACTGTCCCGCACCAGACTTCGGGACCACATCACTCCCACCCTCGCTCGCCTCCACTGGCTCTCCATCCCCCAGAGGATCGAATTCAAGATCCTCACCCTCACCTACAAGGCCATTCACGGCCTTGCTCCCTCCTACCTCTCCGACCTCCTATCCCCCTACCTACCTGCCCGTACCCTCCGTTCCTCTGGCTCCGGTTTGCTCCCGACGTGAAAGGCGCTCAATAAATGGAATCTTGTTCTTGTTGTTGTTGTTGTAGGACAAAGAAGTGATTCTGAAAGAAGATGAGCATATCAACTGCACTGATGATTTCTGTTCAGTTTACACCGTTGGACTCTATTTAGTCCTTACATTTTCCGATGGAATCACTGTAACATGGGATAAACGCACAAGGCTTTCAGTCACGTTGGATCCCCGTTGGAAAGTAAGTCTGGAGTTTAAATTATGATGAAGAGACTTGAAAGAAGGAAGGACGATAGAGTAGATTCGGATAATTTTTTTCACTGGTTGATCGGTCGATGCCAAGCGCATTAATTTCAAAATAACAAAGGGGGAGATTAAGAGGATTGTTTTTACACAGAGTTGTTAGGAGGTGAAATGTCCATCTGGGTGTGGCACTTAAGGCAGAATTTTTTCTATTTTCAGTTTTCAAGAGAGAACAAAATAGATATCTAAAAAGGAGTAATTTGCAGGAGTATGGGGAAAAGACAGATAAAAGGGATTGAATGTGGTCCTAGCTGGACAAGCAGTGGGAAAGCTTGCCAAACAGTGATACCAATGGCAAGCTATGCAGTTTTAGATGGTCAGACTCCGGCAGTACCCCAACGCACTCTCTGGGTTCCCCAGTTCTTGGCTCTTGTGCCTAATACTTTCCAGAATTAGGTAAACAGGATGCATCCGTCCAGCGAGAGAGTGCACACTCATGGATACACTCGCCACTTCACAGAGCCAATATGGAATCTTGGTGTTCTGTTTTATCCTTTGAATTGTACATCCATGCCATGACTCGTTCTACCTTCCCCCACTTCCTCAACATTGCATGCTCCACCACTGCCTCTCCTCTCAGTTTCCCGAGATCCTCATTCATGCATTCATTACATCCAGGCGCGACTACTCTAACTCTCTGCTCGCCAGATTTCCCAAACCATCCCTCCACAAGCTGCAGATTATTCAGAACTCTGCAACTCATGTCCTCTCCCTTAGCAAGCTCCGTGATCACCTCCATCCTCACCCGGCTCCACTCGCTACCTATCCCTCAGAATCAAGTTTAAAATCCTCGTCCACACTTTTAAAGCCCTCCACAGCCTTGCTCCTTGCTACCTTTATGAACTGTAAACACCATACCAACCTATCCCCTCCCTTTGCTCAGTGAACAATGGCCCGCTTCATGTCTCCTGCCCTGCTCTCCTCATCATTGGAGGTTAGGCCTTCAGCTTTTCTGCCCCCACACTCAGGAACTCCATACCAGTATCCCTCTGCCTTGCCCCATCCCTTGCTTCCTTCAAGGTCTGTCAGCCACCCTCCCCCACACCGTACCCTCCATGCAAACCGTAACTGTCCAGTATCTTGGGACATCCTTCCAATGTGAAAGGAGCTATATAAATATAATTTGTTGTTGTTGTCAGTGATTAATAAAACAATTGCTGAACTAAAATATGTTTGTAAGCTAATGAAAGATATACTAAGGAGCAGTTTCTTCACGTAAATATTGTTCATTGGTCAGCTCTGCAGATTGTTATGACTTACAAGCATACAGATCATAAGAAATGTCAGGTCAAATTACCAGTAAGGTTTTTGTTTAAGATGAGATTAATTTAAAATAACTATTACTGATGTTTTTGGTATTTCAAATGTCAACATTCTCACTCAATTCTTGTATTATCCTCCGGATGTGAAAAGCGCTATAGAAATGAAATTTTGTATTGTATTTGTCACTTTTACTTTAGGACAAAGTTTGTGGTCTGTGTGGGAATTTTAATCTTAATACTGAAGATGATCTAACCACAAAAGGGAATTACTTAGTGGCTGATGTTGTTGAGTTTGGAAACAGCTGGAAGGCTGATTCCATGTGTTCTGATGTGAGTGAACAAAAATTCCCTTGTGAAAGAAATCCGTATTGTGAGGCATGGGCACATAGAAAATGTGGCATAATTAAAGAAAGTACATTTCAACACTGCCATAAAAAGGTGAGAAACATCTTATTACACATTTATTACCTTTGATTTAACAATCTTTACTAGGCATATTTTATAACAGCAAAAATAAATACTGCAACTTTATATGTTTGAATTATAAAATACCATCCAATAATGTACTGTTCACATACTCTGCAACCGACAAAGCTGTGCAGCCACAATTACTGTGACATCAAAGGCACAAAGAAAATCTAATAGGCTACTGGATCCAGAAGACTCACAACTATGACAATCGCTATGCTTTTTTCCCATAATCAGTCACATACTAAAACCAGACATTTTGGATAAGTATGGTATGTTTATTTAGATATATTTCAATCACAAAAACAGTGGACACTCGTAAATTATGGACCTTTCACATATAACATGCTCTACTTATTTATTGCAAATATTAGAAACCTTCCAGCAAAGTGTATATATATATTGATATGTATTCTGATATTAGAACTATATATTTTTCAGGTCGATAATAAGCCATATTATGACGCTTGCATCCAAGAAGCTTGTGCTTGTGACATGGAGGGAAAATACCTTGGTTTCTGTACCTCTGTAGCAGTATATGCTGAAGCCTGTAATAAAGCTGGTGTTTGCATTGACTGGAGAACCCCAGATCTGTGCCGTAAGTATCAATTATTCTATTCATGAGTACTAGCAAGTGCTCCAGGTTTCACCCCCCCACCCCCCACTTTCCCATTGTAAGTAGATAAGGATAAAGCTTGTAATGTTTCAAAATTCACATGTGTGAAATTAACATCTTCAAGGCGGTAACAACCCTTGTAGGAACCATGTGTGTGTGGTCAGATAAACCATGGTGCTGGTTACAATCAGGCTTGGCTGCTTATTTCATTGTTGAATAATCTGTTTACCCCTACTGTGGCCCCTTACAAACAAATAATGATCACTTGTGAGCAAGATACCATAGGACAAGCCCCATTCAATGAATCATACCAATTGAAGATTATGGGAATCAGAGAAATATTGGTGGTGTACTTTCTGGTATCTGTCCTGAAGTTGCCCTTTACAGCTCTAAATCTATGTCCTCTATTCTATGGTCATGGTATATCCTGAAGTAAAGCAGCTTTGCTGTATATGTGCAAAACAATAAGTGATGTTGAAAGGCACATAATGTCCCAGAATTCAGATATTTTTAGCTTCCTACACAAAAATTGTGGGCACTATATGTTTTCCTGTTCAAACAAATTGACAATCAGGAAGCTGTGTGCATGTACAATAGAAAAACACTATTGTGGATCACTATAACATTAATTTATATTTTATATGTATATCTTCACTCTAAACAGCAATAAGAGAAATTTAAAAAGAAAATAGTACAAAAGGGGAAAATTAACTAGTTGGATCCTTCTTCAGCGACAGAGGATAAATTAGAATTCAATTCAAAATTGGAAGGAATAGTCATGTTCAGGAAGTCATCAGAAGTAAAATTAAGAGTAGAACCATTAGAAGTATTGCAAAATGGTTGAAGTAACTGAGTCCTTCAGGAATTGAAACAGGATTATGAAACTCCCATTTTAATGCATGGAGTGGATCAATGTTTAGCAATTCAGCTATACCACCTAAAGTGTGAAGGTTGAGTGCAATATATGCTATGATCTGAAGGAAGGTTATGAGTGTAGAATTGTTGGCAGAATTGGATAGATTTTGGTTAATGAAACAGCCTTGGGGATGCCCAAGTCAGTCAAAAAAGAATCAGAGATTTAACCATCCACCTCAACACCAATGTAACAAGGTGAGAGGAAACTTGATAAGCTGACAGTTCAGTGCATTGAAAATGAATTGCTGACTGTCCATCTTTGCTTCAGTTTTATAGGGCACTCCATCTAGTAACCTGGCACATATGGTCTGTGATGAATATTTTTGGAGTCCTGTGGCTCAGTGGTTAGAGCACTCGCTTTGCAAGCGAGAGACCTGAGTTCAATTCCAGGCAGAGGGCGAAACCTTGGGCAAGTTTCCTTACTCCACACGCCTAATAATAATCCCTCCAAAACTAAAAACAATAATAAATTGGTCATTTTCAATCTACGACTGTTTGTGGGACATTGCTGTGCGCAATTGGCTGCCGCGTTTGCCCACAAATATACAGTCAATTCACTTTACAGTGTATTCTGTGAAGCGCTTTGGGACGTCCTCCCGACGTGAAAAGCGCTATATCAAAAGCAAGGATTATTATTATTATTATTATTATTAATTTAAGTAAACCTAAGTTAGATTAAACACTCTTTATTTTCATGGGTATTGAATGAATCGCTGGTTAACACACTTTATTTTTGTTTTCCATTGCAGCTGTATTCTGTGACTATTATAACAAGGAAGGTGAATGCACGTGGCACTACAAAGCATGTGGAACTGAAATAAAAACATGTTTTCATAATACTATCACCAAGACATATTCTAAAGTGCTTGAAGGTCTCGTTTAAAATTATTTTCTATTTAGATTGTTGCTTTTGTTAACTGGGAAAATATTTCTCAGCTAATTTCAGCAGAGGATTGCTTGTGTTAAATATGTACTGAATGGAATTGTGCATGAGTTTAGAGGAGGATCAAATTTAAAATCCTCGTCCTCACTTTTAAAGCCCTCCAAGATCATGCTCCTCCCTTTCTCTGCGACCCCTTAAAATTATTCCAACCTGTCTACTCCCTCCGTTCGGCAGACATTGGCCTGCTCCATGTCCCTGGCCCTGCCATTGATGGACGGGCTTTCAGCTTTTCTGCCCGTAGCTTCTGGAATTCCATCCCTGAATCCCTCCGACCCGCCCCATCCCTCGCCTCCTTCAAGGTGCGCCTCAAGACCTTCCTCGTTGACCGTGCCTTCAGTCACACTCCCACCAACACTACCCCTTCCTTCCAATCCTCTTGATTCCAAACCCCAGGTCGGGTGCAAGTTCTTAATTATCCAACTCCTTGGGACATCCTTCCATTGTGAAAGGTGCTATATAAATGTAATTTATTGTTGTTGAGTTATCAAAACAGGCGAGAGAACTTGGGCTTTTGATGATTAAGACCAAAAGTATTACAGTATGTTACTTGTACGGAAGAATTAGAGAGAGAGTTGGAGGATTTTCATCACTTAAAAGCTTGTTGAGGTGTGGAATACTTTAACACAAGTGGCTATGAGACTCCAAGAATGGAACCAATCAAAGGGGAACTAGATAAGCTCCTGAGAACTAACAATGATAAGGATATGGAGAAAGCGCTGAAAAGTAGGTTAAATAAAAAGAGCGATTGTTTTAAAAGAAAAAACAAGTGGCAGTGGCAGATTTAGGCTCTCTGCCTAAAACCATCTGTTTCTATGTTTAAAACCAAACAATGTTTTTAGATAGATACAAAATGCAAATACAGTTTCAGATTTTGTATAGCTAAGGTTTAAACAAATATGTTGAAGAAAGAGCAGATTTATTTTATTTAAAAAATATTCAATTGTTGGCAGGAGGAGAGAAATAATAATAATAATCCTTGCATTTGATATAGTGCCTTATCACATCGTTGAAACTCTCAAAGTGCTGTACAGAATATATCATAAAGTAGGTTGACTGGGTGTATATATACATTATATATTAGATATTATATATATTGAAATAAATGAGAACACATAAACTGAATCGTTAGAATAAAACAAATGGTTAGAATACCATAATTGAAAGATTCAGATTATAAATATATTCCCAATTTATCTACAGTAGCTGCAGGATTTTGTGGGTGAGTGACAAGGGTGTCTTGTTGGCTGGATTGTGTGTGTGTGTATGCTGAATTGAGGATGCACTGTTAATTTATTAAATATTCTGTTAATCTTTCTTTGAGCATTACACATCACATGGTGCACTTTCTACTATTTTGAAATTGTATCTTATTTATTTTCTTGGACCATTATATGTGTATCTGTGGAACCTAATAAACTCTGAGCTAATTCATGACGATTCACAGGTAACAGTGCCATATTTGACTTCTGTTACTTTATTTAATTTTCTAGGTTGTTATCCAAAGTGTCCGGTTAGTGCACCGTACCTGCATGAATCTCACATGAAATGTGTTCAGTTGTCTGATTGTAACTGCATCTTTCATGGAAAAGTAATAGAACCACATCAAGTTGATGGCAACTGGTAAAGTATTCATAATTTGTGACTTTCTTTGTCATTAATCCTTATTGATATTGTTAGAAAAATCCAAATAAGAATGGATGGAATGGATTATATTGATTCTTTAATACTCAGAATCCCAATGGGTTAATACGCTTGGTTAATTGCCTGCTACACATTTTGTAGCCCACGCAGGCACGGCCATCGTCCCAACTATCTACTAGTTACGGTCGTACCGGACTCCTAATTTCTGCGAGTACCATGGCCACCGTCCCAACTATCTACTAGTTACGGTTGTACCGAACTCCTAATTTCTGCGAGTACCACGGCCACTGTCCCAACTACTTACTAGTTACGGTCGTACCGGACTCATAAACACGTCAACTGCCGTGTGTATTAATTCAGAGTATCCTGCCGAATCCCAAATTGTTAGAAAATAAAATCAGCCAAATCTGTAAGGAAATAACGACTAAAGCAACTAAAGTCTAATTCCTTTAACCAGATATCAGACTGTTTTATTATTATTCGTTCGTTATTCCCCAATATCCCGATGGGTCAGACCAAAGGCCGGTACAATCAACAGATCTTATAACAGAATAATACCACTGTAGATATCTTGAGTTCAACACTGTGTCATTACAGCACACAAGCTTGATTCTTCATGCTTTCAGTCTTCTTGCTTACAGCTTTCAATCTTCCATCCGATACCCTCAGTCCCAGTGTTTCTAGCTCTCAGTCTTCCATCTCCCGTATCCTTGTCTCTGCGGCCCGGGATGGCCCTATCTACCGTATCCTTGTCTCCGCAACCCGGGACGGCCCCATCTCCCATACCCTTGTCTCTCGTATCCTTGTCTCCACGACTCGGGACGGCCCCGTTCACAAAGTTAACGGAACTCTTATACTGATGTTCGTCCAATCATGGTGCGGACATCACCTGGTCGAAATCATGCTGGGTTCACGTGAACACCTCATGGGGTGTATGTGCCTCAGCACACATACACATTGTCCTTAAGACTCCTGTTATCTGATCTAATTGTCTAAGATAGAGAATTGATCAGTTTAGGGCTGTATCTGGTGCTCATTATTTTGTGGTGTGGGATCATTCGTACATTCCTTTTAGGTGACTGGTTATTTCTTATCAGTATCCCGGGATGGTACCAAGGCCCTCTAGTTTAAGCAACTTGCTCATTAGTTGCTATTCTTGAGGGTTGCCTTCTGTCGCTCGGCAGGCTCTGTCAGAATCTAGCGACTTATTGCTCAGTCGAGATCCTGTGTCGACTGGTACTTTGGACCGTTACCTCTGTGGCTTGTTGTCATTTACTGATAAGAGGTGACCCCCTGCCCCTGTCCGTTATTCTTTCAAAAACAGAGAAAAACAGATGTGTCCTATCCCATGACTGTCAGTCCAGTTGTCCCCCACACTTAACTTAAAAGTTAACCCGTTTGCAACATCTATTATGATTCTAACATTATACAAAAAGTGTAAATTCTAACAATATGGAACACGATGCTATAGGTGGACAGATTGATTTCAAGATCCTCACTCTCAGTTCCACTGTTTGTCGTCCTGTTTTCAGTCCATGAAGGGTACTATATAAATGCAAGTTGTTGTATAATTATAATGCAGCTGACTTCTAGAGCTTGATATTTTTAAAGTTACCAGATAATGGAAAGCTACGTGTTTTTACATGGTTAAACTTCAGCAGTACCCAATTCTATACTCGTGGCTCAAATCCTGGCTCTCACCAATCTGCACCTAATACTCTTTAGAATAAGGTAAGCAGGGTGTGTTCCTTAAGAGAGAGTGTGCATTTCATTCCAGAGTCAGGAAAATTTCCATGTGAACATGCAATACATATGTGGAATTCTCAGTCTGGTTTGGATACTCAAACACGATGATTGGGTGTTTCTGCTTGTGTCAGATATTCACCTGATGAAAGCAAAGCAATATCCATGGTCCATCAGCAGATGTAATCAATTACAGATGAATTATACGAAAGGAAACAATTTTTTTCTCATTGATCAAAGTATCCAAACATTTTATCTTTTGCAGTGCTTGTATTAATGGACGCATTACATGTGGTAAGTAATATTTATGTCGTCGGCAACTTCGGCCACCATCCTACCTCTACCCTCCCTGCTCTCCAAACCTCCTGATCCCAACCCCCTGCTCGGGTCCAAATCCCTGCCTGTCCAGGCCCTGGGACATCCTCGAAACGTGAATGGTGCTATATAAATGTAATTTGTTGTTGCTGGTTACTTTCACCTCTGCATATATCAACAATGTAGCAATTGAGTAAATAAAACTTTGTAAAAGTTCATGTGATCACTGATGCTGTGGACTACAGTGGACTTGCCTGTCTCAGGAACCAAACTACCAAGACCGTCATCGAGGGTTGGCTCGATTCCCACATTGCGTTGCCAGGCACGTCAGTTTAGCTCCAAGGAGACCTCGCTTATCTCCACTCAACCAACTCCCACCCCCCCCACCAGAAGAATAGACTTACTTTACCACCTTGCCTAAGATCATCATGAGTTTGCCCTCAATTGTGGGTGAAACTATGCCATTGTTCAACTCTGAGAGACAACTCCAAATGGAGGGTGCTACATAAATGCAATTTGTTGATGTTGATGTTATTTAATTTGTTTTCTTGTATAGAAACTACAACCCCAACAACTATTACCTCAAGCACTTCTACAACAGGTGAGTACTACAATTGATGTCAAATCTTCTGAAATATTAATGTCATTCTTGTATTGAGTTGTTAAATATAATTTTAAAATGTAAGATAGATTTGAAGACGTGTCTTGGTGGTTTCAATTTTCAAAACTGTTATTGATTTAACAGCTGTGCCTAAGATCACCAGATCACCTCCCGTTGCTCCTCAGTGGGGGAATAAACTCCGCCATTGTTCAGCTTCGAGAAGCAACCCTGCATGGAGAGCGCTACGTAAATGCATGTTGTTGTTGTAGTTGTAAAATGTAATGATTTAAATTTGTTTTCTCATATAGAATCCACAACCACAGCAACTACTACAACAGGTGAATAATGCGTTTTATGTCATATATTCTCTAATATGAATGTCAATTACTGTGCACAATTGGCTGTCACACTGTCCCACAAAAGAAACAGTCCAGTCACTTTGCAATATATTCTGTGAAGTGCTTGGAGATGTCTTGAAGATGTGATAATGAGCTACATGAAAGGCAAGGATTATTAACTGAAACCTCCTCACTCGTAGCTGTTAAATAGTATTTGACAATGTGAGAAACAGTTTAGGAGACCTGTCAACAATTATCGCCCTTTCTCTTTAGTTGGGTTGAAACTCCGCAATTGATCAGTTCCATGCAACATTACTCTGAATGGAGAGTGCATTATACATTCCGGTTGTTGTTAAATGGAATGATTTGAATCTGTTTTGTTTTGTAGAAGGTACAAGCCCAACAACTACAACCACAACAACTTCTACAACAGGTGACAAATTCATTTTATGTCATATATTTTCAAATAGTAATATTAAATTGAATCTATTAAAAGAATTGAGGGAAGAGATAGCAGAGGCACTATTACATATATATAATAACTCATTAGAAAAGCGAGCAGTGCCGAAGGACTGGAGGTTAGCTTATGTTGTACCTATATTGAAAAAGGGAGATAGAAGGGAACTATAGACATGTATAGTTACATCGGTGGTAAGAAAGATAATGGAATCCTTACTGAAGGAGGTAGTAGAAAAGCATCTAGAAACGGGAAACATAATCAAGAATAGTCGGCACGGATTTCAAAAAGGAAGGGGTAGCTTGACCAACCTCATTGAATTCTGTGAAGGGTTAACAGAAAGAGTAGACAATGGTAAGGCGGGAGATGTAATACATTTAGATTTCCAAAAGGTGTTCGATACGGTACCACATAACAGAATAATGAATAAGGTCAGAGCATGTGGTGTCAGGGGAAAAATTGCAGAATGGATAGCAAGCTCGCTTCAAAACATAAAACAGTGAGTAGTGTTAAAGGGTAGCTACTCAGACTGGCAGGGGGTGGCCAGTGTTGATCCTCAAGGATCGGTATTGAGACCACTGATGTTCACAATACACATGAATGATTTGGCCTCGGGAATCAGCAGTAGACTTTCAAAATTTGAAGACGACACCAAATTGGGGGGAATAGTTAATACAGAGGAGGCCTGCAACAATTGACAGCAAGACATTAATAAACTTCCTGAATGGGCATTTCAATGGTCTATTTTGGTAGAAGGAATAAGAAAGTCACATACATCCTGGAAAATAAAAACCTAAATGGCGTAGAGGAGCAAAGGGATCTAGGGGTACCCATACACAATTCACTAAAAGTGTCAAGTCAGCTTAATTAGGTCACACAAAAGGCAACCCAGGCTTGGGGTTCATTTCAAGAGAGATAGGAATGAAAAGCAGGGAAGTTATGGTAAATTTCTACAGAACCTGGGTAAGACTACACTTAGAATACTGTGTGCAGTTCTGGTCCTCACATTATAGATGGGATGTAGAGGCAATGGAGAGGGTGCAAAGGAGATTTACAAGGATGATATCATAACTGAGAGGTGATATCTATCCGGAAAGGCTAAACGTGCTCAGACTGTTCTCTCGAAAAGAGGAGGATAAGGGGTGCCCTGATAGATATCTTTAAAATTATGAAAGGTTTTGATAGGGAAGACGTAGGAAGATGTTTCCACTTGTGGGGGAGACCAAGAATGTGGAACATGCTACCACAATGAGTAGTTCAGGCAAATAGCATAGATGTATTTAAGGGAAAGTTACATGAGGGAGAAAGGAAAAGAAGGCTATGCTTGAAGGCGTAGTTGAAGAAGGGCAGGAGGAGGCTCGTATGGAGCATAAACAGCGGCATAGACCAGTTGGGCTGAATGGCCTGTTTCTGTGCTGTATATTCTAATGTATTCTAATGTAAATGTTATGCAAATTCTTTGAATATATTGTGAAATAACATTCGAAGATATGGGGTAGATTTGAAGATGTGGCTTGTCAATGCTATTTTCAAATTGATCAATGCCATTAACTGATAAAATAATCGTGCTTACAGTCTCCTCCCATTCTCCTCGACTTGGTATGAAACTCTGCCACCTTTCAGGCTCTCAGATGCTACTCAGAATGAAGGGTGCTATATAAATGCAAGTTGTTGATGTTGTTGAATAATTTGAATTTGTTTTCTTGTATAGAACCTACAACCACCAGCACTATTCCCTCAACAACTTCTACAACAGGTGAGTAATGCAATTGATGTCATATATTCTCAAATATTACTATAATTCTTTTAATGAGTTGTTAAATAACATTTGAAAATGTAAGATAGTTTTGAAGACGTGTCTTGGTGGTTTCCATTTTCAAAACTGTTATTGATTTAACAGCTGTGCCTAAGATCACCAGATCACCTCCCGTTGCTCCTCACTGGGGGAATAAACTCTGCCATTGTTCAGCTTCGAGAGGCAACCCTGCATGGAGAGCGCTATCTAAATGCATGTTGTTGTTGTGGTTGTTAAATGTAATGATTTAAATTTGTTTTCTCATATAGAATCCACAACCACAGCAACTACGACCACAGCAACCTCTACAACAGGTGAATAATGCGTTTTATATCATATATTCTCTAATATGAATGTCAATTACTGTGCACAATTGGCTGTCACACTGTCCCACAAAAGAAACAGTCCAGTCACTTTGCAATATATTCTGTGAAGTGCTTTGAGATGTCTCGAAGATGTGATAATGAGCTACATGAAAGGCAAGGATTATTAACTGAAACCTCCTCACTCGTAGCTGTTAAATAGTATTTGACAATGTGAGAAACAGTTTAGGAGACCTGTCAACAATTATCGCCCTTTCTCTTTAGTTGGGTTGAAACTCCGCAATTGTCAGTTCCATGCAACATTACTCTGAATGGAGAGTGCATTATACATTCCGGTTGTTGTTAAATGGAATGATTTGAATCTGTTTTGTTTTGTAGAAGGTACAAGCCCAACAACTACAACCACAACAACTTCTACAACAGGTGACAAATTCATTTTATGTCATATATTTTCAAATAGTAATATTAAATTGAATCTATTAAAAGAATTGAGGGAAGAGATAGCAGAGGCACTATTACATATATATAATAACTCATTAGAAAAGCGAGCAGTGCCGAAGGACTGGAGGTTAGCTTATGTTGTACCTATATTGAAAAAGGGAGATAGAAGGGAACTATAGACATGTATAGTTACATCGGTGGTAAGAAAGATAATTGAATCCTTACTGAAGGAGGTAGTAGAAAAACATCTAGAAACAGGAAACATAATCAAGAATAGTCGGCACAGATTTCAAAAAGGAAGGGCTTGCTTGACCAACCTCATTGAATTCTGTGAAGGGTTAACAGAAAGAGTAGACAATGGTAAGGCGGGAGATGTAATACATTTAGATTTCCAAAAGGTGTTCGATACGGTACCACATAACAGAATAAGAATAAGGTCAGAGCATGTGGTGTCAGGGGAAAAATTGCAGAATGGATAGCAAGCTCGCTTCAAAACATAAAACAGTGAGTAGTGTTAAAGGGTAGCTACTCAGACTGGCAGGGGGTGGCCAGTGTTGATCCTCAAGGATCGGTATTGAGACCACTGATGTTCACAATACACATGAATGATTTGGCCTCGGGAATCAGCAGTAGACTTTCAAAATTTGAAGACGACACCAAATTGGGGGGAATAGTTAATACAGAGGAGGCCTGCAACAATTGACAGCAAGACATTAATAAACTTCCTGAATGGGCGTTTCAATGGTCTATTTTGGTAGAAGGAATAAGAAAGTCACATACATCCTGGAAAATAAAAACCTAAATGGCGTAGAGGAGCAAAGGGATCTAGGGGTACACATACACAATTCACTAAATGTGTCAAGTCAGCTTAATTAGGTCACAAGAAAGGCAACCCAGGCTTGGGGTTCATTTCAAGAGAGATAGGAATGAAAAGCAGGGAAGTTATGGTAAATTTCTACAGAACCTGGGTAAGACTACACTTAGAATACTGTGTGCAGTTCTGGTCCCCACATTATAGATGGGATGTAGAGGCAATGGAGAGGGTGCAAAGGAGATTTACAAGGATGATATCATAACTGAGAGGTGATATCTATCCGGAAAGGCTAAACGTGCTCGGACTGTTCTCTCGAAGAGGAGGATAAGGGGTGCCCTGATAGATATCTTTAAAATTATGAAAGGTTTTGATAGGGAAGACGTAGGAAGATGTTTCCACTTGTGGGGGAGACCAAGAATGTGGAACATGCTACCACAAGGAGTAGTTCAGGCAAATAGCATAGATGTATTTAAGGGAAAGTTACATGAGGGAGAAAGGAATAGAAGGCTATGCTTGAATGCGTAGTTGAAGAAGGGCAGGAGGAGGCTCGTATGGAGCATAAACAGCGGCATAGACCAGTTGGGCTGAATGGCCTGTTTCTGTGCTGTATATTTAATGTATCTAATGTAAATGTTATGCAAATTCTTTGAATATATTGTGAAATAACATTCGAAGATATGGGGTAGATTTGAAGATGTGGCTTGTCAATGCTATTTTCAAATTGATCAATGCCATTAACTGATAAAATAATCGTGGTTACAGTCTCCTCTCATTCTCCTCGACTTGGTATGAAACTCTGCCACCTTTCAGGCTCTCAGATGCTACTCAGAATGAAGGGTGCTATATAAATGCAAGTTGTTGATGTTGTTGAATAATTTGAATTTGTTTTCTTGTATAGAACCGACAACCACCAGCACTATTCCCTCAACAACTTCTACAACAGGTGAGTTATGCAATTGATGTCATATATTCTCAAATATTACTATAATTCTTTTAATGAGTTGTTAAATAACATTTGAAAATGTAGGATAGTTTTGAAGACATGTCTTGGTGGTTTCCATTTTCAAAACTGTTATTGATTTAACAGCTGTGCCTAAGATCACCAGATCACCTCCCGTTGCTCCTCAGTGGGGGAATAAACTCTGCCATTGTTCAGCTTCGAGAGGCAACCCTGCATGGAGAGCGCTACGTAAATGCATGTTGTTGTTGTAGTTGTAAAATGTAATGATTTAAATTTGTTTTCTCATATAGAATCCACAACCACAGCAACTACGACCACAGCAACCTCTACAACAGGTGAATAATGCGTTTTATGTCATATATTCTCTAATATGAATGTCAATTACTGTGCACAATTGGCTGTCACACTGTCCCACAAAAGAAACAGTCCAGTCACTTTGCAATATATTCTGTGAAGTGCTTGAGATGTCTCGAAGATGTGATAATGAGCTACATGAAAGGCAAGGATTATTAACTGAAACCTCCTCACTCGTAGCTGTTAAATAGTATTTGACAATGTGAGAAACAGTTTAGGAGACCTGTCAACAATTATCGCCCTTTCTCTTTAGTTGGGTTGAAACTCCGCAATTGATCAGTTCCATGCAACATTACTCTGAATGGAGAGTGCATTATACATTCCGGTTGTTGTTAAATGGAATGATTTGAATCTGTTTTGTTTTGTAGAAGGTACAAGCCCAACAACTACAACCACAACAACTTCTACAACAGGTGACAAATTCATTTTATGTCATATATTTTCAAATAGTAATATTAAATTGAATCTATTAAAAGAATTGAGGGAAGAGATAGCAGAGGCACTATTACATATATATAATAACTCATTAGAAAAGCGAGCAGTGCCGAAGGACTGGAGGTTAGCTTATGTTGTACCTATATTGAAAAAGGGAGATAGAAGGGAACTATAGACATGTATAGTTACATCGGTGGTAGGAAAGATAATGGAATCCTTACTGAAGGAGTTAGTAGAAAAATATCTAGAAACGGAAAACATAATCAAGAATAGTCAGCACGGATTTCAAAAAGGAAGGGCTTGCTTGACCAACCTCATTGAATTCTGTGAAGGGTTAACAGAAAGAGTAGACAATGGTAAGGCGGGAGATGTAATACATTTAGATTTCCAAAAGGTGTTCGATACGGTACCACATAACAGAATAAGGAATAAGGTCAGAGCATGTGGTGTCAGGGGAAAAATTGCAGAATGGATAGCAAGCTCGCTTCAAAACATAAAACAGTGAGTAGTGTTAAAGGGTAGCTACTCAGACTGGCAGGGGGTGGCCAGTGTTGATCCTCAAGGATCGGTATTGAGACCACTGATGTTCACAATACACATGAATGATTTGGCCTCGGGAATCAGCAGTAGACTTTCAAAATTTGAAGACGACACCAAATTGGGGGGAATAGTTAATACAGAGGAGGCCTGCAACAATTGACAGCAAGACATTAATAAACTTCCTGAATGGGCATTTCAATGGTCTATTTTGGTAGAAGGAATAAGAAAGTCACATACATCCTGGAAAATAAAAACCTAAATGGCGTAGAGGAGCCAAGGGATCTAGGGGTACCCATACACAATTCACTAAAAGTGTCAAGTCAGCTTAATTAGGTCACAAGAAAGGCAACCCAGGCTTGGGGTTCATTTCAAGAGAGATAGGAATGAAAAGCAGGGAAGTTATGGTAAATTTCTACAGAACCTGGGTAAGACTACACTTAGAATACTGTGTGCAGTTCTGGTCCCCACATTATAGATGGGATGTAGAGGCAATGGAGAGGGTGCAAAGGAGATTTACAAGGATGATATCATAACTGAGAGGTGATATCTATCCGGAAAGGCTAAACGTGCTCGGACTGTTCTCTCGAGAAGAGGAGGATAAGGGGTGCCCTGATAGATATCTTTAAAATTATGAAAGGTTTTGACAGGGAAGACATAGGAAGATGTTTCCACTTGTGGGGGAGACCAAGAATGTGGAACATGCTACCACAAGGAGTAGTTCAGGCAAATAGCATAGATGTATTTAAGGGAAAGTTACATGAGGGAGAAAGGAATAGAAGGCTATGCTTGAATGCGTAGTTGAAGAAGGGCAGGAGGAGGCTCGTATGGAGCATAAACACCGGCATAGACCAGTTGGGCTGAATGGCCTGTTTCTGTGCTGTATATTTTAATGTAATCTAATGTAAATATTATGCAAATTCTTTGAATATATTGTGAAATAACATTCGAAGATATGGGGTAGATTTGAAGGTGTGGCTTGTCAATGCTATTTTCAAATTGATCAATGCCATTATCTGATATAATAATAGTGCTTACAGTCTCCTCACATTCTCCCCGACTTGCTATGAAACTCTGCCACCTTTCAGGTTCTCAGATGCTACTCAGAATGAAGGGTGCTATATAAATGCAAGTTGTTGATGTTGTTGAATAATTTGAATTTGTTTTCTTGTATAGAACCGACAACCACAACCACTATCTCCCCAACAACTTCTACAACAGGTGAGTAATGCAATTGATGTCATATATTCCCAAATATTACTATAATTCTTTTAATGAGTTGTTAAATAACATTTGAAAATGTAGGATAGTTTTCGAGATGTGTCTGAGTCATCGCTATTTTCAAATCTGTTACTGATTTGACAATCCTTTTTTTGTTCAGCCGCATGTCTGACACGTGCAGAAACCAATCACAGTGTTTAAGAGTATCCAACCCAAGCTGAGATTTCCCTGCCTCCCAGGTACACATGGAAATCCCAGCAAAAGATTGTTCGAATGGAATGCCTGGAGGGACGCATCCTGCTTATGTCATTCTGCAAATAACTAGGTGCCGGTTGGCAAGAGCCGAGGCTTGGGGTTCCAAAGCTTGCCTCTTGCCAATGTCTAGATGATATGAAAAAGTATTGTATCAAGTGCAAGGATCATTATTATTATTTACCACTTCATGTCCTGCAAGGACCACCTTACCCATTAGGTTTTAGGTGTGCAGTGTCATCAGGAGTTGAGTGGGATGACTCACTGCCACCTGTGACTGGTCTGCCCTTCTTGGTGCTGTTGATGAGCCAGGCTGTCATCATGAATTTTGCGAATGTTCAAGGGGTCACTCCTTGATGGCCATGCTGGGCACTTAATAAGGGATTCTGTTTCACTTGTCACTCCTCTTTCCACATAACTTCTCCCATTCTAGAAACTCTTGTAAATATTTACAATGTAAAATTACAACTCGTCCTATAAGATGGTGATTTGTATTGCAGAGGCCTTCTGCCCCTCCTGTGACAGGATAGGGTGGAAGACCATGGTGTACCCCGACAATAGACTCGAGGTCTCTGTTTTCTATGTGAGCATACTCACCCAATTTCCTCTGAGCGCCCACACCATTCACAGTCCTCTCGTGACGCAGGAGGACTTATACTTATCTTGCCACTCTGGATAAATAGTTGCTGAGCCCTTTTTCTTTGGAGTTATGAGTTATCAGGAGTTTATTCTCAAACAGTAATGTGAAATATTATCCAAAACCTCACATTGAGGTGTTAGATAACATTTTAAAAATATCTAATACAGAAGATCTGTCTCGGTCATTGCAAAGTTGTTGTTGATCCCACTGGTGAATGGTAATAGTCATTCAATTGTTATTCTACCTCTCCTTTCCTCTATTAAGTTAAGCACCTCAACCAGATTACAAACCCTCATTCTTCCATAAACTTAATTGTTGTTCTATACACATTTGGTATTGCTGGCATTGGACCTTGTTACTATTTCTAATATAATGTGATCATGTTCTCTTTGACCGAGCCTTCAGCTCCCCTCTCGACTCTCTTCCTCCTCCTCGCTCCCTCCCTTCCCTCCCCTCACCCTGACCATTTCCCCCCTCCTCTCTCCCTCCCTTCCCTCCCCTCACCCTGACCATTTCCCCCCTGCTCGGGTCATGACCCAACTGTGCAGCGCCTTGGGACGTCCTCCTGACGTGAAAGGCGCTCTATAAATGGAATCTTGTTGTTGTTGTTGTTGTTGTTGTAGATGTAACATGTGCATGCAGGCCTCTCCTCTATCTATCTATCTATCTATCTATCTATCTATCTATCTATCTATCTATCTATCTATCTATCTATCTATCTATCTATCTATCTATCTATCTATCTATCTATCTATCTATCTATCTATCTATCTATCTATCTATCTATCTATCTATCTATCTATCTATCTATCTATCTATCTATCTATCTATCTATCTATCTATCTATCTATCTATCTATCTATCTATCTATCTGTTGCATTTTCTTTATGCTTTTAACATCTAAAACAGTTTACATTCCATTGCCTTTCCATAAATGTTTTTCTTTTATTAATAATTGTCCAGGCCACAGACACAGATATTGAGAATATAATGAACCTGAAATATGTACAGTTTGCCTTGGAGGCAATTTTTTGTACTGTTTTTGTTATAGAGCGCTAATTAAGAAGTGGAACAGAAGGTTTCATTGGTTGAAGCCAGAATGGTTGACTCATTTAAGAAACAGCTTGCTGGTGCGATGGAAAGATGATCAGCCAGTTAGACTAATTTTTCCAAAGCCCCTTATTCTTCTGAAACTGCCTTAGTATGAGAAAACACGTTGATCGCATCAATTCAGCTCCTTCCACATATTTGGAAAACTTAACATATCTTCGACCTTATCCACCATATCTCTCCAGAAAATTAATGCAGTTTCCCTCAGAACTTTTAATAAAAATCATAGGTGTATAAATTCTGAGCCATGATATACACTTACTGAAGAACCAAAGGATCCCGCCACCAGCTAGCTTTGAAAGACAGGGCAACCTTTGAACAAAATGAGATAACAATTTATTGCATAACTATTTATCAGTTTAAATACTTCACAGGAAGTTTTTTTGTGCATGCATTGAATGTAGATGCAATCTGTTCCTATGCAAAATTACGACTTTGATTTAGCTGATTATGACAATTATGTATGAATGAAATAAATATTGGAAAAAGTAAATGAAATCACTGAATAAATGAAAATGTCTGTCAGTAATGTCCTAAGAAAATCTATTTAATGCAATGTACAATAATCTCAACACCTACAATTGTTAAATTGCTTGAAATGTGGTCTGTATCCTCACAATTTAACATACATTTTAGCTTTTTCTTCTCGTAGAGTGAAAATGTGGAACCTGCTTCCAAAATGGTGGTTGAAGCAGATAGTATAGATGCATTTAAGAGGAAGCTAGACGTGAGAGAAGGGAATAGAAGCATATGGGAGGGAGTAAGGAGCGGGTGGAGACTTGTGGAGTATAACCATCAACATGGATGGGTTAGGCCGAATGGCCTGTTTCTGTGCTCTACAGTCTATGCAAATCTATGTGCGAAACAAGCATCTCCACTTGTATAAAAAGCTCTCTTTTTTACACTGATTATTTGACATGCAGGTACCATCTTGAATTAGATTTTTCTATTTAATATTATTAGCATTAAAAAGGAATCTTTATAAACTACTAATTGTGCCTTTGTCGAGTATTTTCCAAATATTATTAATAATTTTCACTTTCTTTGCAGAAGTGTCTTGTGAAAATGGTGAATGGTCAAAATGGGTTAATAAATTTCATCCAACCTTACAAAACAGAGGGGATAAGGAAATACTGGATGACATTAGATGTCCTAACACTAATGATGTCTTCAGTAAAATTCAATGTGAACCACTTGCACATCTCAAGAAGCTAGAGGACAATGTCACCTGTGATTTAGAAAATGGGTTCATTTGCAGTGAGCCGACCTCGCTTGACAATCTGATGTGTCGAGACTACAAAATCAGAGTTTGCTGCTCATCTATCTCCACTACAACTCCAACCTCCACTACAACACCAACCTCCACTACAACACCAACCTCCACTACAACTCCAACCTCCACTACAACTCCAACCTCCACTACAACTCCAACCTCCAGTACAACTCCAACCTCCACTACAACACCAATCTCCACTACAACACCAACCTCCACTACAACACCAACCTCCACTACAACTCCAACCTTCATTACAACTCCAACCTCCACTACAACTCCAATCTCCACTACAACTCCAACCTCCACTGCGACTCCAACCTCCACTACAACACCAACCTCCACTACAACACCAACCTCCACTACAACTCCAACCTTCACTACAACTCCAACCTCCACTACAACTCCAACCTCCACTGCAACTCCAAACTGTAGTTGCAACAACATTGACAATCCAGAGGTAATTGCCATAAGATTTATCCAGTAGTAAACTGGGTGTTGAGAATTTTCTACAAAAAAATGTTACTTTTTGTTTTATTTCAAAATGTTTTTTCTTCTCACCAATTTTCAGCCACTTACGTTCTAATTTTCTTCCTCTGATTCCTCTGAACATCTAGTCCTTCTTCCTTCTACAGTTCCTCTGGGTGCAGGTTGCTATCTATAAATACAAAATATCTGTACTTTACAGCAATTATCTTTTCATTGATTTGACATTTAAATGTTATTAACATTTCATCATTCTATATTGATAAAGGTCGTGCATTTATTCTTTTTATAATCTTCCTGAAAAAAAACAGAGGTTCCATTGGTTCCAGTTAATTGTTCCTTCATGGAATCTTTCAGGAAGCATCTTGATTTCCCCCCGTTAGTTATTGTTACAAGATTATGATAGAGGTTCAGATGAAGAAGGCTCTTTGGTCCATTTTATCTCAACCTTTCAGAATACCCACTCCACCATCCTCCCATTTCAACATGTTCTTTGAATGAGTTCTGACCATGAGAAGCTGTTTCACCTTGTCCAAAACAGTAAGAACCAGAGGATACGGCCTTCGAATAAAAAGGGGCAAATTCAAAACCAATCTGCCGAAACACTTTTTCAGTTAGAGAGTGATAAATCTATGGAACAGACTCCCTTTGGAGATGATAGAAGCGGACACTATCAATTCATTCAAATGCAAATAGTTAATAATAATAATAATCCTTGCATTTGATATTGTGCCTTATCTTGGAAACGTCTCAAAGCGTTTCACACAATATACTGTTAAATGAGTTGACTGTATATTTCAGCTCCAACAGCATATGGAAGAGAAAGAACAGTTATTGTTTTGTGTGGTAATCCTTTATAAGAAACCTTTATCAGGACAGGCCTAGTTCTGAAATTACACATAAAACTTTAATTTATCTGAATTTTCAGATTATAATAATCCTTGCATTTGCAACTGATACAGTGCTTTATTTACGTCAAGACATCCCAAATTGCTTTTTCTTTAAAGTGTAGTGACTGTATTTATGAGTGAATGTGACAGCCAATTTGTACAAAGCAGTGTCCCACAACCATTCACCAGTCACCATTCACATTAAGTGAATGGTCTTTTTTTGGGCAATTCTTGGCCAGGACACCAAAAACTCCTTTTTTCTTTTCCAATACTCCCATGGAATCTTTAATACCCACCAGAGCAGGCAGACTGGACCTCAGTCTTATCTCATCTGAAGTATGGCACATTGGTTAATGCTGTGCTCCATCAGCACTGTCTCTGTGGCAATTCAGATCACAAATGCAAAATTCCAAAAATGAAGAACTGCTGCTTATGTCTAGAATTTCTTTGTTTATTTAAGAATTACAGAATTCATACTTTTGCATTATAACCACTAAAATGAGTATTATGGTATTAGCTGCCATATTAAACACACTACAGTTTTTAATGATGAATTCAAACTGCCAGAAGTAAGGCCAGAGATCAACATCTTGCAATATATCAAAGTGGAATGGGAAGCTAGAATTACCTGATCCACTTTATATAGCATTGAATTAGGCTAAAAAAAAAATGCACTTTAGCATTCTACGAATGTGTTTTGGAAGGAATCTCTAAAAGAATGTGCAAGATTCTCATCTATTTATTGGATTTGCAGGAATTAATCACTTGTTTGCTTAGTGCAAAAACTTAAAAGATAATAATAAATAATCCTTAATAATCCTTGCATTTGATATAACACCTCATCAGGTCTTCGAGATGTCTCAAAGCGCTTCACAGAAATATACTGTAAAGTGAATTGACTGTATATTTTGTGGGCAAAACATGGTAGCTAATTGCATTCAGCAGTGTCCCACAAACAGTTACTGAGATTGATTTGGATTGAGTGACCAAATTATTTTAAATATATTTTGAAGGAATTATTACCCCCCAGAAAAGCAATCTGGAAGGCAATAAGCAATCGACTAATAACCGGGTTCCTACTTACTGCTAGGTAAACAGAGGCATGCAGAGTAAGGAAACTTGCCCTACCTTTCGCCCTGCCGGGAATCTAACATAGGTCCTCTTGCTTATGAGGTGGGTGCTCTAACCACTGAGCTACAGGACTCCAATATTTGGGGCCTAAACGTACTTTATATGTCAATTAGAATGAAAGAAACTCATGTGATTAAATATTTTTAAATGTGTGATGCTAATTTAGGAAAATAAATTTGTTACAATGCATATAACGTCATTACAATGCATAGAACACCTAGTTCCAGATGACCAAAATACAATTCAACAACAACAACTTGTGTTTATATAGTGCCTTTCACCTGGGGTCGTTAACCTTGTCATTTTCCAATTGATGTGGGCTCATTAGATTAAATAGATTTTTACCATTTTATTATATTTTCTATTACTTTTCAATTTAAAAAAAAACTGTAGATAATGCAACGACAACTTGCATTTATATAGTGCGTCCTAGAGCATTTGACAGGGGCAGAGTCTGACCCCGAGCCAGAGGGAGAGGAAGGGCAAGTGACCGTAAGCACAATCAAAAAGGAAGGTTGAAGGGATTTGAAAATGAGTGAGAGGATCTTGAAATCGATCCGTTCAGGAATTGGGAGCCAATGGAGTCTAGCAAGGACTGTGCGGGTGAGATTCTAGGCAGCGGAGTTCTGAATTAATTGTATTTTGTGTATTTCTGTGAACTCAAGTTGATGCAATGTCGTTTTTCTCTATTGGTTTTACTGTTAAATAACTTAAGGTATGCATATTAATAATATTCACAATGAACATGAAGGTATTTTTGAAGGTAAGAATCGATATTCTTTAACCAATCTAACATTTGTATTGATGCATTAACTTTTTCTAGTGCATGTGGACAGAAGACTGTAGCATTAAAACATGTGTGAATGGAGAACCTAAAATAAATAGAACCTGCAATTCTACAAAGCCCGAATGCGACAGAGAAGAAGATCTTGTCAGTTATACAAATGAATGTGGCTGTGAATCAATGGAGTGTAACTGTTAGTATCATTTATCTTTTCAAATAACTCAACAGAAATTCTTGGATATGTTATTTAACATTCTGTATTGTATTTATTCTTTCCATGAAAAGAAAACTTTTCCATTTCATGTTTTCACATTTTAGGTGAATGCAAAGTTTATGGAGACCCACACTATGTGACATTTGATAATGTACACTACAGTTTTTATAAGAATTGCACATACATCCTTGTGAAAGAAGTCATCCCAAAACACAATTTTGGAGTTGAAATAGACAACTATATTTGTACAGAGGATAAGTCATGTCCAAAAGCAATAATTATTTCCTACAATAAATTCAAAATAACTGTTTCAACACTGGATCAGCTTACAGTAAGTATTGTGCATTTTTCTCTTGCATGCACAAAATATCATTGGGTCAGTATTGTAAATTGTTGGCCTAAATGATGAAACAAAAATAGAGATCACTGGGAACACTCAGCAGGTCAAGCAGCATCTATGGAGAAAGGAAAGTGGGTGTACGTTTCGGGTCCATGATGCTTCTACATGCTAAATTTGTTAGGGAGGCTAATTTGGTCCCGGCCTTCTCAGGATTAGGGATGGAAAATCTTGCTCCTGATCCTCTACAGCGCCCTCTACTTCTTGTTTGTGTGTGGGTAGGGAGAGATCAGGCTTAGCTATAACATTGTCTGCAATTGAATGGCCTGCAGGACTCGTATATGAACAATGTACTTGAAAAGGGTACCAGAGGGCAACAAGTGCCAGTGGGACCTTACCCCAGTAAGCAGAGGCTGGAACCAGGAGCTAAGAGGCATAGAGTAGGAAAAATGGAAAGTAAATTTTAAAAAGGCAGCTGAGGTGGGGTATCAAAGGTTAGACCGCAGTCATTTCTGAGCATTAGTTCTTTCCCTGAAGGGAAAAAAAGGGGAGAAAAATTTAAAAAAATTAATGTTTGGTTCAAAGAGCTTCATTTTCATCCCATTTCAAGGGCTTGTAATAAGCATCGTTAACTTGGTGTTGACCACCAAAATGATCAAATTTCCTGCTGATATTCCTCTGTAACTTTGGTGGTTTTAATAAAATTATCTTTTTATCTTACAGTTAACCATCAATAACAGAACTGAAAGCATTCCGTACAATTTGAACGGGTTTGACATTGTTAAACTGAGCCACACAAGCTTGCAGGTTTATATTCCTAAAATCCGAACAAAAATTACTGCTCGACGAAATAGATTTGTAATCAGCATTCCAGAACAACTCTTCTTGGATAATACCGAAGGACAATGTGGTATGTGCTTTGAATATTCTTTTTTTTAGAAACTAGGTGATCTAATTGTAAATCAAAATGCAAAATACTGCAGATGCTGGAAATCTGAAACAAAAACAGAAGTGGCTGGGAACACTCAGCAGGTCAGGCAGCATCTATGGAGAAAGGAAAATGAGACAACGTTTCGGGTCCACGATGAAGGGTCGTGTAAATCATATTACTATTATTATTAAATTATATCTTATTATTATTATTATATTTTTTAGTCAGATGCATACCTAATACATCACAAGATCACAAGATTGGTCTGGATGAGGAAGGCCCTTTGGCCCATCCAAACTCATCCCTCCAGAACACTCATCCTAACTATCAAGCTGCTTTCTAAATGTGTCTAATGTCCTAGTCTTTTGCTACAAATCTTGACGTTGATTACCCTCAGCGTAAAGAAACACTTCCTGATATCTGTCCTGAAATTACCTTTTATCCTAAACCAGAGTGGTCCAACTGGTAGTCCACCGGCAGCATCCAACTTGAGGGATAATTTTGTACGGCCAATGAACAATTTCCGCCTTCAGGCCCCCCTTTCCAACCCTCCCCAGTGAACCGGTCTCTCATTATAACAGCTCAATGTGCGAAGAGTGGAAATAATACCATTTGTTGCTGCAGTCTGTCAGGAGCTGAAGGGAAGGCAAGCGGGTCTCCTTACCAACTGCCGGCCCCTGGCGCTGCTAGATAGGAAGACACCCTGAGCCCGCAGCTGGGATAGCGGCAATTCCTGCTGCCAGATAGTGAGCCGCATGGCTAATTGAGAGAAACAGAGAGAGGAAGAGAGAGAGAGTGACTGAGAGAGGGAGAGGGAAGAGTGATTGAGTGAGACAAAGATGGAGACAGATTGATTGAGAGAGCATGAGGCAGAGGGGAAGAGAAAGAAACAGAAAGAGGGAGGGAGAGAGAGCAGAGAGGGGAAGTGAGGGCAGTGTTTTGTCTTAACAGACGATCGGAGTCTCCCTCGGCCATTCAGGAGGACCGAGGACACTGAGCAAATTACTGAATTACCGTGTGTTGCAGTTTCGTAACAGCACGCTTCCTCTTTCCCCAATACCTCCACATTCTCCCAATCCATCTGCTCTCTTTGTCCTGCAAACCCGGACTTGCTTCATGTCTCCCCATGCCATCTGCCCCACCATCGCCACCATCCCACTCTCTGGAGCTCCATTCCAGGAGTCCCTCCAACTTTTTCTCTCCCTCCCCTCTTTGACAGTACTATTGGTCATCTTTTCTCCTCCCCACCTCCCTCAGCTCCCACTCCCAGTTCAAGTGCCAAGCTGCCAGTGTTGAGCGCTTTGAGGTATACTTCCAACATGAAAAAAGCGCTGTGTAAATCTTATGTTTCTGGAAGGGAAACTCAAAAATATTGTTTATGTGGCCCGCAGATGTTTCTCAAATCTGGTATCTGGATCTCAACAGTTGGACCACCCTGTCTAAACCTATGCCCTCTTGTTCTTCTCTGTTACAGTAATGGTTTACTTTTTCAATTCTGTTTAAAATATTGGACACCTCTATGACGTACTGTCTTTGTTGTATTCTCTGAAGACCTAAGTACCCGAGTATCCCAATCATTACTCCTAGTTCATTCCTCTAACACTCGGGATCATCCTCATTTCTCATGCGATTCTGCCTCTAGGGCCCGGGTAGCCTCTATTACTATGACCAGATCTGTGTGCAGTGCTCAAGGGGTGGTCTGATCAGAGCACTATACAGCCTGAATATGACATCTGGGGATCTAAACTCAACTGATTTAGCAAAATAGCCGAGGATCCTGTTTACCTTGCTGCCTTTGACTGTTTTGACATAGTGAGTGACGAGTCAACTAACACCCCTAGATCTCTTTCAGTTTCTTCAATTCCATTCATGAAATACTTGCATTTCTAATTCTTGGATCCTATATGTAGTACCTTGCATTTATCAGTATTAAAATTCATTTGAAGCTGTCTTTGTAGCACTTTGCTGCCTTCTCTGATCTATAATTCCTCCCAACTTGATGTCATCTGCAAATTTAACTATTTTAAAACTAGGTCTGTGATGAAGTTTGCCATCTCTTAATCAAACGTAAAGCTGGCCGTGCTGATAAAATGTAAATGTAATCTACAAGATTTTATAAATGTTGAATGATTCCGTCCCCCTCTATTAGGTTCTTGCACACGTAAAAAGATCGGCGGTTGCAGAAGACCTGATGGAACTGTAGAGAAATCCACATGTTGTCCCACAGCTGCTCTTGATTGGAAGGTTCCTGACACAACGAAACCTCATTGTGCTAAAGATCCTACAAACGTAACTTGTCCTACACCAACAACGGCACCACTGACAACATCACCACCCGGACCTTGCTGCAAACTATGTGAACTCCTTCACCAAAAGTACGCAAAGCTATTCTCTAATTTCTTTCAAAATAAGTTATCAAAGCTTAATTTACACATCTGAGGATTATTTTGAGGGCCAATACGGTGTTGCAATATCTTAAACCCCTAAATTACCGTTCTACAAGAATATTTTTTAAAAAATGAAAAAAGTCATTTGGCATACCAACAACAACAACAACAAGTTACACGTGTACAGCTCCCTGCACATCGGAAAGACGCCCCAGAATGCTGGGTAATCAGGGGTTTTGAACCTGAGCTTGGAGTTCGGGTCAGGAGGGGTGGAGAGCAGGGTGGGTGGGGGTGGGAAGATACCTGAAGGCACGGTCAAAGAGAAAGGACTTTACACGGGATTTGAAGGAGGCAAGAAAGATGGTGAGGCAGAGGGATTGCAGGACAGAGACCCAGAGTGCAGGGGCAGAGATGCTAAATGCCTGACTGCTAATGGTGAATGGTGGGTTGGGAAGTGCGGGGGACCTGGAGCAGGCTGGTGTCCACCGAGGGGCGGGAGCGGACATGCTGATATGGGATTAGGAGGTAGGGGGGATCAAGACCATGGAGGGCTTTGAAAGTGAGAACGAAGGTTTTGGACTCGAATCTATGACGGATGGAGAGCCAGTGAAGCCGGATAAGGATGGGGGTGATCGGTTCAACAGCTTACATTTACACCTTTTGTGTAAAAATATAGCAGAGAGCTGGGCTAATATGATGGTGGACAGTTGGTGATGAAATAAGAGATTTAAAGATGTTTAAAAAGATATATAATTAGGATGTTTTGAAGGCATGGAAGTGGGGAGCAAGCAAAGTGGTTTTGAAAGAGATTCTGGAGGACAAAGGTCTCAACTACTGTTGATGGAGCAAAGGGAGTGGGAAGGAAGCAATAGGCCAGAGTTGAGAGTGCAAGGTGTAAAATAGGGTAAACAAGGACAAGCTGTTCCACTGGTGGGTGGGTTGGTAACCTGAGGGCACAGATTTAAAATAGTTGTTAAAAGAAACGGGGGAGGTGAGGAGAATTTTTTTAGCACAGCAAGTTGTTTGGATCTGGAATGCATTGCCTGAAAGGGTGGTGGAAGCTGATTCGATAACAACTTCTAAGAGAGGGGTAGATATTATTTGGGAGGACAGATTCACCATTCAGTTTGCAGGGCTATGGGGAGAAAGCGACAGAGTGGGATTGATTTGGGTAGCTCTTTTCAAAGCGTCGGCACAGATATGATGGGCCAAATGGTATGATACTATGAATTTTGTTTCACCATACAGGCCCTTTGAAAAATGCAATAAAAATGATATGGAGACATACGATAAAACTTGTGAGGATGACTGTCATTCTACTAATATTTGCTCAGTGGTTTGTGCAAATTTGGAGGCTGCTGCCTCAGAATGTCAAGGAAATTGTGTTGAATGGAGAAGTTATACAAATGGATTATGTGGTAAGAACTGTTAATATAGCACACTGTCAAATTTTATTCTGTTGAAAATTCTATACAAGCAATACTTTAATTATATGTCTATAAATAGAGGAATAAGTATACAATATACAAACTGACAGTGTTTTGAAACTAAAGAATTGTTACAATCAGAAATTGAAGCTCAGTTTCTTCATTACTTTATTTGTGAGATATTACCAGCTGAGACATTAACTGAGGTCCCGTTTGCGTGTTCAGGTGGATGTTAAAGATCCTAGGGCTTTATTCAAAAAGAGAAGGGAGTTTCTCCTGGTGTCCTGGCCAACAAATTCCCCAAAATAAAATTGGTCACTCACTTCATGGCAGTTGGTGGGATATTGCTGTGTGCAACTGACTGCCATGTTTTAGCCACAAAATGCATAATCAATCCTCTTTACATATGTCCTACGAAATGCTTTGAGACGTCAATGATGTGATAAAGCAAGGATTTTTATCATTATTACTTTTAATATAAAATAAATATTATTCCCCCTTACTCTTGTCTCTGAATCAGAAGATGATGGTTTCAAGCCCCACAGCGGGACCAGGATTTCACATAGCCCAAGCTGGCATTCCATGCAATATTGAGGGCTTGCTGCATTATCAGAGGTATCATCCTTTGGATGAGACATTAAACCGAGTCCCATCTACCTGCCCAGGTGGACGGTAAAGATGCGTGACCTTATTTGAAAAGTGAAGTGGGTTTCTCCTGATGTCCTGACAAACAATCCCCACTCCCAACACCCCCAAAAAATAGTCCTTCATTCATTGCTAAAGTGAAATATTGAAGACCTTCCTATCAGAAATCAAAATGCTATTGCCTGATTTGTTTGTTAGTGTTTATTTCCTTAAATAATCATTACTATTGCTGTATAAATTTTATGTATTTAAGCTCAGTTCTTTGATCAATAGTAATCAGAGAACCTTAGTAAAATGTTTTGGTATACTAAAAACAGCTACTCTTTTTAAAAAAAATCTTTTTAAGATTTGGACACCTGCGATGGAATTTTGACGTACCAGCCATGTCAAATGGAAACTGATGATAGATGTGAAAACAAGTATGTATGGCAGTTTTTATGTTTGCTGAATTCAGTTGTGCACAATAGGTGTTCCTGCTCTGAAAAATTAACTTAAATATATATAATTTTACTCTTCATTTGACAAACAATCATCTGCTAATTCTCTGCCAATGTTGTATGCTCATGTCCAGCACTTATGTAATAATGTAGCAGAATAAGGTGATTCACTTATTTAGTTTCTTGAATCTATAAGGCTACTACTCATGTATTCGAGAAAGTGGCATAGATTTTAACAGTGCTGTGATACACGGAAATGTTTTTATTTGTAATATACACTGTTGAAAGGAGAAGGTGCAACTCTGTGCAAATGTACTCAAACAGATGAAGAGAGAATTTCTAGTGAACTTCTTATGTTTGAAGTCAGTGAATGGGCTGGTCATCTTTTTTGAATCACCATAGGCTTTATACAAATAAGCTTAAAGTGAAGATTGATGAGTAGGTAGTAGAGGAGCTCCACTTATAACGTAGCCAATATGAGGTACTCATGGTTTAAGACCATCTCCTTAAATTGTGCTAGATAAAGGTCACATCTAAAGTTTAAGGAAAACATATGATCAAGAACTAGTTATGTTGGGAATAATAAACATGAATAAAATGCAAAATACTGCAGATCCTGGAAATTTGAAACAAAAACAGAGATCGCTGGAAACGCTCAGCAGGTCAGGCAGCATCTATGGCAAAAGGAAAGTGGGTCAATGTTTCTGGTCCATGACCCTTCATCAGAACCATGTTCTGACGAAGGGTCATGGACCCGAAATGTTGACCGACTTTCTTTTCGCCATAGATGCTGCCTGATCTGCTGAGTGTTCCCAGCGATCTTGGTTTTATAATAAACATGAAACCTTGTTCAGGAATTCAGTGGCAGAATATAAAATGTATTCAAGTTGTTGTTGCATATTTTAATTTTATCTTGATTGCAATGAATATTCTTACATATTTCTTTACAGTAAAGTAATACTTGGTCAGTCATTAAGCAAACCTATAGAAGGTTGCTTTTGTCCAAAGGGAATGAAATCATCCAACAATGATACATGTGTTCATACATGTAAGTTCTATTTAAGTTCAATTCATGAGAAAATATAATTTTACGTTACAGTTTGTATAATATTAAATATTTTAATAAGAAACTCATATCATTGTACTGCTTATATGGAGTCCTATAGCTCAGTGGTTGGATCACTCACCTCGCAAGCGAGAGAGCACACAACTTACTGCCTCTCCCTCCCCACCTATCAGAGTATTAAGCTCCTTTTTAAATTAGTCAAGTATCCTGGCCTCTAACACTTTTGCTGGCAAACTGTTTCAGTACCCTTACCTTAAAGAAAAATGTCCTCATATCTTCCTGAAATTTCTCTTTAGAATTCTAAACATAGAACAAAAAAAAACCACGGTTTGCCTTCCACCTTCCTGACAGTTGTATGCACATATGTCCCGAACTACCCATGTACTATATCCCATAATGTTATGTCCTAAAAGAAAACTATCTAATCTGTGTTTGAAGAAATCAACACTTCCTGCTTCAACTGTTTCCCTAGAGAGCCTGTTCCACATATTTACTATTCGTTCACTGAAATAGTGTTTCAGTCAATTTGTTCTGAATTTACCCCCACTTCAATCGCAGGCCGTGTCCTCTGGTTTTACTATTCTAGACTAATTGAAACCGCCTGTCATGATCTATATTGTCTAGCCCCTTTAGAATTTTAAAGACAGCAATCATATCTCCTCTCAAACTGGAGTCCTGCAGCTCAGTAGTTAGAGCACTCGCCTTACAAGCGAGAGACCTGGGTTTGATTCCCAGCAGGGCAAAATGTTGGGCAAGTTTCCTTACTCCGCACGCCTCTGTTTACCGAGCAGTAAGTAGGAACCCGGTTGTTTGTCGATTGGTGGATCGCTTTTCTTGGGGTAATAATTCCTTCCAAAAAAAAAATAATAATTTGGTCACTCAATGCATGACTGTTTGTGTGACACTGATGTGTGCAATTGGCTGCCGCGTTTTGTGCACAAAATACACAGTCAATTCACTTTGCAGTATATTCCGTGAAGTGCTTTGAGACGTCTCGAAAATGTGATCAGGTACTAAAACAAATGCAAGCATTATTATTATTATTACTTCAATAAAAGAATTGATTAATTTATTCTAGGTTGTGTGGATCATTCTGGAAGACAACGAAATGTGAGTGATAAGGAATTTATTATTTCTTTTATTGACATCTGAACGTAAACACAATTGTTTATTAAAAATATTGCACTTATAATACTTATATTTCTTACAATACTACAGAATGTCATTATTTTTCCATCTATTGCATCCTCTTCTACAATAAATCTGGGACCATTGAATAATTCATCAAACCAACTGCTTTGAACATACAGTTGTAAGAAAAATATTCCGCTCTAATATGTCACCTACCTCTACCTGGTAAAATGTGATAGATTTAAATTGCTGTGGGTTCTTTTTTTTTCACCATCACATTTTTAGTGTTGTTATAAAGAGTGTTGCTGGACATTAAACAATAATTGACAAAATTGGGTGCTTGATTTTTTTTAAAGAGCCTGGGTGATGTGATGGGAGCAGGGATTATAAATTAAATTTTGCACTCCACATCGCTATACTGCCAGAAGTAAATCAGCTGGCACAGCACAGATGGATAATGACAGCAGCTTTTGGACACCATTTCTTGTTGCTACCTTCTTCCTGAGTTTAGTGACAAGTTTATCCCATTGATTTTTTTTCTTGTTTATAGAATGGGGAGAAATGGCAGCACTTTTCTGATAATTGTACTATTTTGGAATGCTTCAGTTCTTCAGTTAAAGAAAACAAACTACACTGCAAAAATCAGGGTAACTGTCCTGAGGTATGTGCATAGATTATTTTTCTTTTAGTTGACAAACCTTTATTATTACAACAAGTTGCATTTTCTCTTTACACCGAGTAACATCTTGGAGCACTTAACAGTGCTTGGCAGTGCCAATCACCAAGCAGCCAAGGTGGTGGAGGAGGGAGATGACTTAGAGAGACAGCATCAGTTGGTAGAATTCTTGCTTCTGAGTCCAAAGGCTATGGATTTAAGAGGGATCTTTGAAGCTGAACTAGCTTCAAGGTAACTTGCCTGACCATGGAATGTTGGAATCGATCCAGCCCTCTGTGGCGGGCTCGATAGTCCGGTTCCTGAGCCAGGCGGGTCCGCAGTATTCCAGGACACTGCTGATGACAGCACAGCCAGCCTGGCTTGTCGGCAGGACCTGGAAGGGCAGACCAGTCATTGGGGCAGGGAGTCATCCCACTCAGCTCCTGCAAGCCAAAGTCCTAATGGGTTGGTAGTCCTAGCTGGAGAAGCAGCAGGAAAGCTTGCCAGACAATAATATCAATGACAAGCAATGTGGTATCAGCTATTTTAGACTCCTGCAGTACCTTAATGCTCACTCTGGAGTTCCCAAGCCTTGACTTTTGCCATCCTGTGCCTAATACTTTTTGTAATTAGATAAGCAGGATGCGTTACTCCAGGGAGAGAGTATGCATTCCATTCCAACAATCAATTGTGTAGATGGATGTATGGAATTCTCAGTTTGGTTAGGATACTCTTAAGCACGTTGATGGGTTTCTGCATGTGTCAGAGAGCTAGCTCACCAAAAAAAAAAAATTAAAGCCCCATGTTGGGACTGTGTTCATAGTCTAGGCTGAGGCTTCAGTACAATGCTGAATTGTCATAGGTGCCATTCTTCGAATGTGGTGTTAATACAGGTTCCAGTCCATTTATTTGCGTGGATGTGAAAGATCCTGTGGCTCTAATCAAAAAATAATTTTAAAATATCCTGGCCAATAAAATTGGTCATCCACTTTACGTTGCTGCACACAGATTGGCCACCACTTTTGTCTTCAAATACAGTGACTGCACTTTGCAGTAAATTCTATGAAGTGCTTTGAGACATTTCAACAACATGATAGGACACTATATGAAATGCAAGTATTATCATTAGTAGTGGCAAGCAGAGATGAACATTTCAATGAAAACAATTTTTGGTTTCTGCAGAAAGTTGCAATATGTAAATACTCAAATGTTGAATTCAAGAACCTGAGAATGACCTGTGTTTGACCACAATTAAGAATAAAAATATGAATAATTTGCAGAATGCTGATGATAAGGACAATAAATAAGAGTAATCTATAATATTCAGAGACCTGACTTGCCTGGGACTTTGACACAATATTGTTTGTCCAAAGGCTCCGTCTGAACACCACTTAAACTGTCTACCAATAATCCCTCTGTTAAATGAATCCATTGAACAATCAACATTTACTAGATAAAAAACTCATACTAAAATGGTGGTTGAAGGAGCAGTTTCCTAATGATCCTCCTGAAAGCATAACGATTCAAATACAATGCAAAGCTGCAAAAATCATTCTGTAGCTGTAACCTTCAGTCTTATGAAAAGTTGCCTGTACATCAATGTGCACTTCATGATTCTATCTTCCAGGCACACAAATTTGAGTAAATTCTACGCAAGTGTGGCAGATTTTGCTTACATTTATTGAGTGGAATTTAATGGACAGATGTACTAAAGTTCACATTTCCTATGCAGCTCTATAGTCACTTTTTCAATAAACCAATTGTACTTTCACTAAAAATTTCGGGACACTTCAACAACTTCATTATGACAATGATTAGAATATTATTTATTAAAATTATCAAGTAAATACTGTTTCTTATTAATTCTGTGTTTAGCCTCAAAGGAAATGGGATGAGCATCACTGCTGCTATGAATGTGTTCCAAGTAAGTCATTAAGGCTTGTAAACTTTCCGCATTCATATATTATTCTTTTCAATATTTTGTTTAAACAAATATTTTACTTGCATAATTTGAGTTCTGCTTAACAAAGTGTCAACAATATGTCTCGCCGAATGTTTTTCCTGCCGCCCCGTCCGGTCACCTGTGGGATACCCTAAGGCTCCATCCTCGGTCCCTTTCTTTTCCTTATCTACATGATCCCCCTTGGGGATGTCATCTGCAAACATGGGGTCAACTTCCACATGTACGCGGATGACATCCAAATCTACTTCTCCTACTTCTCCAGCTGGGACTCCCAGTCTACTGATGTGCGGTCAGCTTGCTTGGTGGACATCAAGACTTGGATGAGCACAAACTTCCTGCAGCTGAATGTCAGCAAGATGGAAGCCATACTCTTTGACTCGGTCAACATCTTGTCTCCTGCAAGTCTGAATTCAATCTTCCTGGGCTCAGACTCTCAGACTCACTGAACCCTTGCCCAACTTAGGCGTCAGATTTGATTTCCAGCTTTCCTTTCTACCCCACATCCGTTCCCTGACCAGGACCACTTTTTTCCACCTCTGTCACATTGCCCGTCTCCGTCCACAGCTTACAACCAAAGCAGCTGAAACCCTTATCCACGTCTTCGTTACTTACTGGCTGAACTATTCCAATGCCCTCCTCGCTGGTTTCCCCAGCTCCACCATATACAAAATTCAACTGATGCAAAATTCTGTCACCAGCACAAAACTGTACCCCTATTACACCAGTCCTTGCCAAGCTCCACTGGCTTCCAAATACCGAACAGATCGATTTCAAGATCCTCTCACTCGTTTTCAAATTTCTTCCTGCCCTCACACCTCCCTAGCTATCTGATCTGCTTACCCTCCTGCGACGGTTCTCACCCCTAAATGTATGCCCGTATTATGACAAAGCACTCGTTGTACTAGGTGCCTCTGTATAGATCCTTCTCTGTGACGTGCAAGTTCCCTCTCTGAGTAAAACTCCACTGAATGATAATTAACACAACATTCAGCCAGGGTGAGAGGGAATGGGAAGATTCCCATTCTTGTGCAATGCCTTATTGCACAAGAATGGGAATCTTCAGTTAGCGTCCTTCGCACTACCAAACAGCTGACTTCCGCAGTAACCTGTTTGTGTCTCTCCCTCCCTCCTCAAATTTAATAGAGACTCAAGATACACTGTATAGAAAACACAGCCGTGTGTTGTTGGTCTTTAAAACCCTACGCCTCACTTATACTGCCCGGAACAAGATAAACTTTGTTTATCTTGAAAAACTCTGACACCATAACTATGGGAATACCATCTTTACCCAAAGCTGGTCAACAAAGAAAAAAACAATCTTGAAATCTTGAGGTTTCAGGTCAGGCACATACCTCCTTAATGACACTAAAGGCGAAGAGCGACCCCGACTTTAACAAAGCCCCCTCCTTTTATATTTTTCCAGCTCCTCCCCTTTCCAATGTATCATTGGTACCTTTTTCTTCCATTTCGAATATCCTCCCCTTCCAATCTCTATTTTGGTTCCCACTCAAGACCCACGTGACCCTTTCCTGACTTTTCTGTTGCAAATTCACCCATGTCACAGACTTTGTGTTGTCAAGGCTGTACTGCTTTAAAATTATATTTTGGTCCCTAGACTAATTTCACTTCAAGTGAATGCATCTTATATTACACAAACTCTATGTACACAGACTATCTACAGTAAATATCATTATAAACAAAGTGGAGCATTAATTAAAACAAGGTGACCGTGACACCCCACTCCACCACCCACTGCCTCCACTCCTGGCTCTGGCCTCCACCTCGTCCCTCATCCCCTCTGCTCCACCGTCCGTGACCGTACCTTCAGCCACTACCCCCCGAAATTCTGGAACTTCCTCCCTCAATCCCTCTGCCTTGCCCTTCCTTCCCCACTCTCAAATCCTGCCTAAAGACCTTCCTTTTTGATTGTGCTTATGGTCACCTCCCTATTCCCTCTCACCCTGGCTGAATGTCAGACTTTGCCACTATCAAGTGCTCTGGGACTCTACCCCGCGTGAAGGGCGCTATATAAATGCAAGTTGTTGTTGTTGATTAATATTATTAAAGATCTGTAAAGTGTGCAATTACTAGTATGCTCTTGACAACTGCTCTTTGATAACTCATGACTTCCAGTGTGTTATATTTCTATGAATCCTGCATTATCTTCTGAACTGATTTTGATGTTCCTGCATCAACTTTACCACATTGGGTTTGAGATGTGATAAGGGGCTCATAGTGGGTGTTCTGGAGGAATGAGATTTTCTGACATATTGTTCTGTGAGTGAAGCCCTTGGGATAGGATGGACAATCTGAATTTTGGTAAAGGAGTCCACTTCATTGGAGAAAGATACAATCTGAATGTGACAACCTGGGGGCTTCTAAGAAAAGAAGTGGACTGAGTGAAGTCTTTCTGAATAGAGAAAAACATGATAAGCAGATACCAAAGACAAAGTGTAAGAGAATGTCAGGTTTGACATTTCGTACACCGTTATATATTGAAAACTTTATATTCCGCTTATAGCAACCTATAAAGAGTCATATTTCTATGTTGTTATAGAAAGTGCTATTTCTATGCAGCAAATCACCCTTATCCTGTGGTTCTTTATTTGGGATGGAACAATGTAATTTGAAAAAAAACTCAATGAATAACAATTGCAACTCTGTCTTATCCAGAAGTACCTACAAAACCTTTATTAAGTGAATTAAGCTTCAATTTGCTTCTTGAATTCTGGCTGCCCTTTATTTCAATTTTTAAAGCAATCATATCTCCTCTAAAACTGGAGTTCTGTAGCTCAGTGGTTAGAGCACTCGCCTCGCAAGCGAGAGACCTGGATTCTATTCTGGCAGGATGAAATGTTGGGCAAGTTTTCTTACTCCACATGCCTCTGTTCACCTAGAAGTAAGTAAGAACCCAGTTGTTAGTTGATTGGAATATCGCTTTTCTGGGGATAATAATACCTAAAAAAAATTATAATAATTTGGTCACTCAGTCCACAACTCTTTGTGGGACACTGTTGTGCGCAATTGGCTGCCACATTTCACAAATATACAGTCAATGCACTTTACTGTATATTCTGTGAAGCACTTTGAGACGTCTAGAAGATGTGATCAGGTGCTATATCAGATGCAAGGATTATTATTATTATCTTCTCCTTTTCAGCGTAAGCATGTCCAATTTCTAATCACTCCTCATAGTCTAGTTGCTCCATTCCCTAAATCATTCTGGTTGCTCTCCTCTGCTCTGTATCTTCTCGATTTCTCCCATATCCGTTTTGTACTACAGTGACCAGAACTGTATACAGTACTCTAAGTATGGTCTCACCACTATTTTGGTTTGCTATTGATCTTTTGATACATCCCAGCATCTGGTTTGCTTTATTCACTGCAACAGAGCATTATTGCAAGAGCTTCAATTTATTGTCAATCAGGACCCCCAGGTCCTTTTCATTTTCCATACATATTATTTTTCATACGTTCAAATAATAGTCCCTTCCTGGATTTTTTGTCCCTATGTGAAGTACTTTACATTTCTCCACATTGAATTTTATCTATCACCGGTCTACCCAATTCCCAAGTATGTTCAAATCCTCCTGTAACCTATCTTGTTCAGCTTTGCAATCTACCACCTTCATTAGCTTGATGTCATCTGTAAACCTAGTCACTGTGCTTGTGACTCCTAGTTCCAGATCATTTATAAAAATATCAAACAAAAGAGGTCCCAAAATAGACCCTTGTGGAAATCTACTGGTAACATTTTCCCAGTCTGATGACATTCCTTGTATCACCACCCTCTGGGTTCTGCCAGTCAACTTGTTACATATTCATTGTAATATACTTCCACTAATTCCCCCTTTACTTTCGGTACCAGCCTCTCAAGAAGAACTGTATCAAAGGCCTTGCTGAAATCCAGATGTAGAACATCCATAGTCTTACCCTTATCAAGCTCCCTGTCACACCATCAAAGAAAACCAGTAAATTAGATTGCATGACTTCCCCTTCATGATCTCACATTGGCTATCATTTATGATTTTATTTCTGTCCAGGTGCTCTGTGATTTTATCCTTAACAAGAGTCTCCATAATTTTACCCACAATGGACATCAAACTTATTGGGCTGTAGTTTCCTGTGTCACTTTTGTTACTTTTCTTAAAAATAGGAGTAACATCTACCTTTCTCCAATCCCCCTGCACCTCTTCTGTATTCAGTGATTTCTGAAAGATTTGTGCCAGTGTTTTTGCGACTTCCTCCCTTAGTTCTTTAAGGAGCCTCGGGTGCAATTAATCCAGCCCCTGCGATTTATTTACCTTAAGATTGCACAGTTGTTTGGCAATCATGCTGGTAGGGTTGCAACTTTACATCTGCGACACCCTTCAGTTCTCTTTCCAGATTAGATAGGTTACCTGTCTCCTCCTTAGTAAAAACTGATGCAAAAAACTGTGGAGTCCTGTAGCTCAGTGGTTAGAGCACTCGCTTTGCAAGTGAGAGACCTGAGTTCAATTCCAGGCAGAGGGCGAAACCTTGGGCAAGTTTCCTTACTCCACACGCCTAATAATAATCCCTCCAAAACCAAAAACAATAATAAATTGGTCATTTTCAATCCATGACTGTTTGTGGGACATTGCTGTGCGCAATTGGCTGCCGCGTTCGCCCACAAATATACATTCAATTCACTTTACAGTGTGTTCTGTGAAGCACTTTCGGACGTCCTCCCGATGTGAAAAGCGCTATATCAAATGCAAGGATTTAAACTATTATACACCACTCTGAGGTCCAACTGTTTTCAAAGGCCCCTATGAGTTATCATCGCACAAGACTGAAGAGTCCTAGCTTGTTTAATCATTGCCAATAGCTCATACGGTTAATACTGGAGGTCATCCTCATTGCTCCCCTCTGCACTGCCCCCAGGCCCTGTGCAGCCACTTGATGTTGTGGTCACCAGAACTGCATACGGTATTCAAGGTGCAATCTGACTACATCGCTGTACAGCTTTTGTATGACACCTGGGGATCTAAACTCAACTGATTTAACAATATATCCCAACATCCTGTTTGCTTTGATTATTGTTGACATAGTGAGCAACAGTTAACTATCACCCCTAAATCTCCTTCATCTTCCCCCTGGGCAAGTTGAATCCCATCCACAGTGTACTTTGTTTCCCTTCTTTGATCTTTTGATCTTAGCAGTAGTACCTTGAATTAAAACTTAATTTGCCAAGTTATCAGACCATGTGCATACATTATGGGAAAAAGCGGGGAGTGGGATTGATTGGATAGCTCTTCTATTTGGGCATGTTGAATGCCTCCATAGTTCCCAATAATTTAGAAAACACGGCTATTTTATTTCATTATTTCTGTTATCCTAGAATTATTATCTGCATTGTACTTTTTGTTTCAACAATTTCATCTTAATTGCACATTGGAATTAAATTTTCTGGCACGTTGCTGTAATGAGTTTGTCCTTCAGCAGAGACGGGGGGAAGTGGGGGGAGGGAAGTAATAACCTTTGAATAGTGCAAAAGAAGTCCAGAATTCCAAAACTTCTTTGGACAAAAGTGAAATTTGAATTTGACATTCAGGGGTTCCAAGGCAAGTAGGAGGAGGAGGGAATTATTTCTGAGTAGAAACAGAATGAAAGCCAGATGACATAGAACAGAATTAAGAGTAGGTAATATTGTGCAGAGGTACTCAAATGACAAATTTGGAGACTGAGGGTATTATTGGTGTATCACTTATGTATCTTGTTTTTCAAGCCACTTTTCTATTCACTAATCCATTTAACCCCTATTCCATGAATATTTACCTGAATATTTACCTGTCTTTTATCTTTGATGTTATCTTGTCAAATACATTTTATAATCAAAATAATTAATCGCCACTATGTTTCTCATGTCCACTAGTGGTATTTTCAAAAAACCTCTTCTAAGTTAATTTACAAGACTAGCTATGTTGAAGAAATACCTTTTTAATCCATTACAGAAGTTGAACACGTCCCAGACAGTCACTTTTCTTTTGATGAGTTTCATATCTATAGGAGTCTCTCCTCTATGCTACACTCAAAAGAACTTTCATGTGTGAAAGAAACAATCTTGTTATAATTTAGGCATTTGACATTTTAAGTTATTATATTGAAAGCTCCAAACTTGTTTGTATTTAATTGAATGACAAAACTGTCCAATGCAATCTTGGACTATAAGAAATGATTTTACAATTCTGTTCCAGCTCTGTAAGTACATCACACATCCCCTCACCAACGCAGGAGTCAATACGATAATAATAAACCCTTACACAAACACACAATACACACACGATAATATGTATGTGTGTATGTGTGTGTGTATATATATGTGTGTGAGGGTTACATATTTCACAATACATGCACCTGTGTATCCTTATAAATCTTCCAGAAGACCTTCTAGCAATATCTATTTTCTCAATATTCAGATGTTAAAAACATAAAATTAAAACTACTGTATATTGTAACTCAGTTACATTTTTGTAGTAGCTGGCTTGTTGTAATTTATGTATTTTTTTCTAGCTGGAAGATGTGAGACAATTGAATATAATAATACAATAAAGAAGGATAACTGCATTGCTGAAGTTGAAGTGACCAGATGTAAGGGGCGTTGTGATAGTTCCTCTGAGTAAGTTTACTTCAACATTCATATGAAAATTTCAATGTGAATCATTAAATATCTCTACTTCTGATAAATAAACAGCTCATTATTAGTAACTAACACAACTTGGCCCTCACAATAACCAGAAACTATTCTTGGGAGAGAGGGAAAATGGGAATACTTCAGGACTGTGTTGGCTCCAAGGTGACATGTCTGGCAATGGAATATTGGAATTTAATTGATTCATTATGGTGGGTTGGTAGTCCAATTGTTGAGCCAGGCAGGTCTGCAGGACTCCAAGCCACTGTTGGTGACAGACCAGCTAGCCTGGCTCATTAACAGGACTTTGAGAAAGGAGACCTAATTCTTGGGGCCCGGGATTCTTCCCACTCAGCTCCTGTTAACCCAGCAAGTCAAAATCCCAATGGGTGGGCGGGGGTGTTCCAATTGGATAAGCAGCGGGAAGTTTGCCAGCTAGAGCTCATAATAGCAAGCTATGTGATTTCAGCTGGTTACTCTCTGACAGTACCCCAGCAAACCTAATGGGGTCATCAACCCACATCTCTGTTCCTAATGTTCGGCAACAAAATATTTAGTTGATTCACTTTATAATATGAATTACTGTGAAGCGCTTTGAGACGTCTCGCAGATGTGACAAGGCACTATATCAAATACCAGGATTATTATTATTATTATTATTATTTTTATTAATACTTTCAGCATTTAAATTAAGCAAGGGTCATCCCTGTGGGGAGTCAGTATCCACTGCATATGAGGAACTCTATTTAATTTGCTATGGTTTCAGTGTGGATAATCTTAAACATGGTATGAGTTTCCATGAGTGTCAACACAAAAAATCTCATGATCTCATCTCTTAAGTTAGTCTTAGATTTTGATATCTGGTATAATAATAATAATAATAATAATCCTTGCATTTGATATAGCGCTTAGCACATCTTCAAGACGTCTCAAAGCGCTTCACAGAATATACTGTAAAGTGAATTGACTGTACATTTTTGTGGGAGAAATGCAGCAGCCAATTGCGCACAGCAGAGTCCCACAAATAGTCGTGGATTGAGCAACCAATTTTTTTTAACATATTTCATAAGATAACATATTTATTTTAATTCAATTAACATTTATTTTTGACTTTAAAACATTGTGTTATAAATTCCCTTTCTCTGAGCTCTGCAACTAATTCTGTTGCTTTCCATTTGGTACCACAGTTTTTTGAGGAGAAAAAGTTCAATTTACAATATGTAATGTATAAAAATGATAATAATCCTTCTGTTCGATTTAGTATGTGACTAATATGATGTGGCTGCCATACATCAATGCCTTTGGTCCATGATGATTACGTAATATGTTATTTTCCAGATTTGACTTTATCACAGATAGAATGTCTCATGACTGTAAGTGCTGTGAAGAGGTTGAGCAAGAGGAAAGGAAAGTCGACCTTATTTGCAATGAAGGACCTAATAAATCGTACAGTTATATATACATCAAGAAATGCAAGTGCGAAAATTGCGAACCGAAAATGTAGCAAAGTGAAATTGGAAACTGACATCAATAATATGCTTATGTATCTTGGAACTTAGAATTAAATCCTAATTTTGTTTCATTTATAATGTAATCTTTACTTGCTTTTGCCAAGTGTTGTAGGAAAACTAGACAAAAGACTCATCAATACAAAGTTTGCAATTTATTGCTTTCTGCAGTGGGATTCTGGGATCTTTAAAGATTTTATTTTACTTGTTAACTTTTTCCTGTATAAGCAGAAATCAAAATCAATAAATACAATTTCAAACAGCTTCAGTTATTAGTGTTTGCAATTTAGTTTTTGTGAATTCTGTTCCACCAATTTTCTCCTGCAGAATACCAACAATAACTTGTGTTTATATAGCTCCCTTCAGGAAGCACAAGTAATGAGAAGTGGGGGATGATAGGTGCCGTAGGCGCCATCAGAGAGGTAGATTTCTCGGTGAGGTTTAACGACAGGTACAGATAGGGGTGGAAAGACAGAGGGGTAGAGGGAGGGTATTTTAGAGGATAAAGGTGTAATTGCTGAAGTTTTGACCACCAATGGTGGCCCAAAGCTGATGGGAGAAAAGGGCTCAGCAACAACAACAAATTACACTTATATAGTGCCCTTCACGTTGGAAAGACATCCCAAGGTGCTAGACAGTCAGGTGTTTTTGGACCTGAGTTGTGAGTTGGGGTCAGGAGGGGTGGAGGGCAGAGTTCCAGAGCCTGAAGCCAGAGATGCTGAATGCCCGACCACCAATTGTGGGGCGGGAAGTGCGGAGGACCTGAAGCAGGCCGGTGTCAGCTGAACGAAGGGAATGGACAGGATGATATGAGGTTAGGAGGTCGGAGAGGTAGGGGGGAGGAAGATCGTGGAGATGTCAGACGGACAATTAGCCAGTTCATCAAAAGTCCTGGAGTTGAGGGTTCATGCAGCGAGATAGAGTTTGGTGTCATCTTCATACATGTGGAAATTGACCGCATGCCTGCGGATAACATCACAGAGAGGAAGCATGTATAGATTGAAGAGGAGGGGACCGAGGATAGAGCCCTGAGGGACACCACACATGACAATGGGGGGGCTGGAGGAGAACCCATTGGTGGATATGAAATGCAGATGATGGGAAAGATAGGATTGGAACCAGGCAAGGCTAGAACCATTGAGGTGGAAGTGAGAGGATAGGCGGTGGAGAAGAAGAGTGGTCGAAAAATAGAGACCGAGACAGGGTCAAAAGTGTGGAGGGAGGAATCGGTGGGGGCTGAAAGGGGAACAAGAGGTGGGGAGGGGGTGGCAGTAGAGGTGTTAGAGTTGGCAGTGTAAATCCCCTCAACTTTGGACTCAAGGAAATTCATCATCTCACATTTTTAGTGTTGGAGGAGAGGATGGCAGAGGCATGGGAGGGTGGACGGAGGAGTTGATTAATGGTCAAAAAGAGGATTCTTGGGTTCTCCTTAGCTTCCAGGATGATTTTGGAGTAAAAGGATGACTCAGTGGAAGTGAGGGAAGAGTAGTAGGTCTTGTTGCAATCCTGCCAGATTGCAATCCATTCATCCTGACAATGAACCGTTAAATTGTACCAGCTGCGTTTAGCATAACGCAGCTGAGATTTGAGGGAGCAGAGGTGACTGGTCCAACAGGAGGACGTACGAGTAGGAGGTGGTGCAGGAGATATCGAGAATGACTGAAAGAGAGTTGTTTAGAAGAGTGACCGAGGAGGGTGGGTCATTGCAGGAGGAGGGCCAGAGGGATAAGTGTTCAGATGCCTCCAGGGCAGTGGAAAGAGTATGGAGGGGGATTTTTCTCCGGGGGCAATAGGAAATGCATGTGGGGTGGGTGGCAAGAAGGGGGATGGAGGGGTTAAGGGAGATGAAATAGTGATTTGAGCAACTAGTAATCAAGAGTGCGTTAGGTCCTCCTGGGCCACAAGGGGCACTGTGACTGGTGCGGGAGCTCGGTGGAGGTTGGGTCTGCATACTCAGATGCATCGCAGAGGTCTCTGGTATATTGGAAGGTCAAGCCATGGCCTCATGCCCTATCCTGTCCCAGAGGCCTCTGGTCTATTTGAGGGCCGTACTGTAGCTTCCATCCTATCTTATAGGATGGGGTGGGAGGCAGGGTGGGAAACCATGGTGCAGGTCTCCAATAGACCAGAAACCTCTGCGATGCATCTGAGCATACACACCCAACCTCTACCAAGTGTCTGCACCAACAACAACAAAATTACATTTATAGAGTGCCTTTCACATTGGGAGGATGTCCAGTCACTGGATAGGGCATGAGGCCTCTAATGATGCAAGATGCCAATTTATAGGACTAGTTATCCAATCAATTTTTCATTGTAAGTACTTACATGAACTTCTGGAATGTGATGAGTTACATATCAAGTAAACCTGAGTCCCTTATTAACATTTTGCGTGAAAAGTGGCCAGGATATTCACAGTACGGAAACTCCCTCCTCATCGGCCTTCCCAACTCTTCCCTTCACAAGCTGCAGATCATCCAAAACTCTGCAGGTCGTGTGCTTTCACGTACCAGGTTCCGTGACCCCATCACTCCCACCCTCACCCACCTCCACTGGCTCCCCATCCCCCAGAAGATCGAGTTTAAGATCCTTGTCCTCACTTTCAAGGCCATCCATGGCCTTGCCCCTCCTACCTCTCTGACCTGCTGACTCCCTACCAACCTGCCCACTACCTCCGCTCATCAGGCTCCGGTCTGCTCCATGTCTCCCGCCCGACCTGCCCTACCATCGGTGGCCGGGCTTTCAGCCTCTCTGCCCCCACACTCTGGAATTCCATCCCACGGTCCCTTCGCCTCGCTTCCTCCCTTGCATCCTTCAAGGTTGGTCTCAACACACATCTCTTCAGCCGTGCCTTTGGTCTCCCTCCCAGCTCTCTGCCTTCCCTCATCCCTTCACCACCCCTTCCCCATGCTTGGGCCCCAACATATGACTGTTCAGTGCTTTGGGATGTCTTCCCGACGTGAAAGGCGCCCTACACATGTAATTTTTTTGTTGGTGTTGAGACAAAATCATCTTAAATTGAGCCCCACTGCATAGATTTTTTAACTTTAAATTTTGCATTAATGTTTTCTCAGCACTGTGAACAAATCATTCAGCCATGCCATAATACCTTTCAAAGCCTGTGTTTAGTGGAAAAAATATCCCTTCGGAAAAGTTATTTTATCTTTCAAAAACACCAGTAGTAGCTGAAAACAAAGGTAAACATAAAAAAACCAATAATTGCAGCTCTGATGTAGTAATTGTCAGCATTCATACATATTACATCATTAATAAATGCAGCTGAGGTACCTATTGTTATTATTGTTATCTGAGACATCATATCAACGGAGTCCCGTTTGAGTCATCACTCTTAAGACTTGATTAAGCAGCTGGTGATGAGTTAGCTTATTATTGTCATTAGTCTTGGACCTCAAGAACATCAAGGTTGCTGATACATCACAAGCTGTTCTGTTAAGGTCCCCCCAGCATGCTGAAGTAGATGTCTGACAGATTGCTGATGAGTAAACTCTGAGGATTGGGGCAGCAGATGCTGGATAGCATTACTTGGAGTTCAAGTTTGTGAACACACAGTGATTGGTTTGCAGATAGGTACTGCTTAAAGCTCTGCATCTCAAACTGGTGGAACAATCGCTTAATGGGAAGGGAAGTGTTCCTGAGTTGTGGGCAGAAAGATAATAGCATTGCTCTCACACTTTACATGATGAGCTGTGTTGCCCACCAGGAAGCTTGCAGGAAGTTCCTGGTACTTGCCATCCACATAGAGAAGGGTCAAATTTGCATATGTCAGATGTGAAATAACCAACTAGTGACTATCCTCCGGGGACGGGGGCAGGGAGGGGGAGGTGGGGGTGGGTAAGTGGGTTGTTCAGTTTGCCTTTGATACCTTTATGCATGGTGATGGGTTTCTGCATGTGCCACACACCCAACTGACCTAAATAATAGACTGAAGAGCCCTAGCTCATCTAAACATTGCTCATAGCTTATTCCTCTAACACTGGGGATTCATCCTCATTCCTCACATCTGCACTGCATCTGGGGTCTGGACAACCCTTTTATGTTATAGTGACCAGAAACTGTGTGCAGTACTAGTGTAGTCTGACCAGAACGCTATACAATCTGATTATGGTATATGGGGATCTAAACTGAACTGATTTAGTAATGTAACCTAGCATAATGATTGCCTTCTTTATTGCTGCATCGCACATCAGTTATTGCTGCAGAAACCGCTCAAAAGTGCGTTCAAAATTGGGTTTTAAAAACAGTTGTATACTTAAAATTGTGTTCAATATTTTGAGAATCTCAAAACTAGGCATATAATTCAGTTTTTTTTTGTAAATTTTGACCACCACCAACAACAAAATTACATTTGTATAGCGCCTTTCACATTGGAAGGATGTCCCAAGGTGCTGAACAATGAGTGTTTCGGACCTGAGCTGGGGGGCAGGATCAGGGAGGGTGGAAGGCAGTGGAGGAAGGAGGGTGACCGAAAGCACAGGGGAAGAGGAAAGTCTTGAGGTGGGTCTTGTAGGTGGCAAGGGAGGTGGTGAGGTGGAGGGACTGTGGGATGGAGTTCCAGAAGGTTGGTGGGGGCGGAGGGAGCAGGCAGGTTGGTATATGGTTAGAAGGTCGCACAGGTAGGTGGGAGCAAGGCCATGGAGGGCTTTGAAGGTGAGGACCACACGTTAGTTCTCAATAATTATGTGCATCAGATATTATTTAAACCCTACTATTGCAAGTTAACAAAAAAAACTAAAATAACCAACAACAACAACAACAACAACAAGATTCTATTTATAAAGCGCTTTTCACGTCAGGAGGACGTCCCAAGGTGCTGCACAGTTAGGTCTTGACCCGAGCAGGGGGGAAATGGTCAGGGTGAGGGGAGGGAAGGGAGGGAGCGAGGAGGGGGGAAATGGTCAGGGTGAGGGGAGGGAAGGGAGGGAGCGAGGAGGGGTAAGAGAGTCGATAGGGGAGCTGAAGGCTCGGTCAAAGAGAAAGGTTTTGAGACCGGCCTTGAAGGAGGAAAGGGAGGAAGCAAGGCGAAGGCACTGGGGGATAGAGTTCCAGAGCCTAGGGGCTGAGAGGCTGAAAGCCCGACCACCGATGGTAGGGCGATTGGGGCGGGGGACGTGGAGCAGACCGGAGCCAGAGGAACGGAGGGTACGGGCAGGTAGGTAGGGGGATAGTAGGTTGGAGAGGTAGGAGGGAGCAAGGCCGTGAATGGCCTTGTAGGTGAGGATGAGGATCTTGAAATCAATCCTCTGGGGG